AACATATCATATTTAGGGGAACCCCTCGGTTTAAAAACAATATTTTGTATTTTGATTTAATTCGAATCTACAAGAATGAAATTTCAAGTGAAAATCTCAACAACTCTTGAAGATATAGCCGATTTATTGTGCTAGCATTAAGTGACGGCAAGAGGGCTTCTCAAACTTTAAACGCATTTTTCACCAAACAGCGTTTTTGCCAATGGCGGGCACGATAACTCAAAAACTAATAATTCGATCGATTCCAAATTTTGGGACGTTTCTCTGTGAGTGTATAGCTATCGTATGAACTAGGATAAATTCAATCGGTCAAGATCTTCCTTAACGTGGTTTGTGGTAAAAAATAGGCGATTTTTCAAAAATATTTTTTTAAAGGTCCGTCAATTTGTTGATTTTTGAGCAAAGCCAATAATCCTAGTTCATACGACAACAACATCAAAACAATAACAAAAAATTTGTAAATCATTTTTCTTTTTCTTTAAATCTTCAAACATATATCCGGCCCATTGAATACCTTGATAATTTAAAATCGGGAATGGGAGTGGGGATGTTCCCTTAAAGTCAATTCTTTTAATTTCTCTTATAAAATTTTTAGCACTTTTATTTGGCACTTTTTAAAATTTTTTAGCACTTTCTAGCACTTTTTTAAACAAAATCTAGCATTTTTTATCAACAAAGTTTTGGCAACACTGGTTAGAACTTACTGATAAGACCATTGTAATATCATATTGCACCGATATTCAATAAAACTAACATCGATCTTCTAGCGACGTTCGCAGATTAATTGAACATGAATTATGTATCATTACAAAACACAACAACCTGATGCAAGAAAATTTCTTTAGTCTTAAATTTGAATATATATTTTTTTAAATATGGCCCAACAATATTTATACACTTTGAATTTATTGATGTCGACCTACACTTTGATTTCAATTAAATCTTTTGAATTGATCTTCTAAATACGTATACAGATCAATCTGAATAATTTATTGTTGACCTTAACACTTCATGAAATGTTTTAAGTGTAAACAACCTTGTCGATAATTATTCCAAACACATTCCCCGACACAAGGAAAATTTTTTGGGGTAGTCTTTAAATTTTAACAAAAAAATAAACAATGAAGGTGAATAAAAATCTATAAACAAACAATGTGGTTGTAAACAAACTATAAAATGTGGTCAAATATTGTTTATACACTTTGCCTAAGTAGTGTAATTTAATTGATGTGGACCAACAATTTCACATCAATTAACAAATAATTGTTTACTTTTTTATTTCACCCACCCTCGGATATGACCATGGAGGGGAAAGGATTTATACGTATAAAAGTGACTTATACGAGTTAAATTATGAATTTTTATAGTTTATATTTTGGTTACAGACTGTATTCGAATGGACTTATTCGACAGGATCTTGTTATCAACGACTAGTATTTGGTGTGGTGTGTCTTGACATTCTCAGACTTAACTACCACATGAACACTTCAACCAATGTAATGTCGAAAGATATCCTGTGTGAATCAACCCGTTCCATTGTGTGGAAACATTGGGGTTACTGCAACTACAACAATAACAAAACATTACAAATCATAATGGTGGCATATCCATTAAGAAATTTATGAATGGGAAACACATGATTGGTTGAAAGAAAACCTTTCTGTTAAAACATTGGCCTGGACTTTCAAAATACCTATAATTGGACGTATTCATTACATGGGGACAATCGAAATTCGATCTTACATTCATTTCTATTGCAAACAATAGGACCATTGTAATATGCCAAAACATAGAAGGTATTTTATACTCTGAGAACGCTCTTGCAACCTTTTCTGTTAGAAACTATAATCTGCAAGATTCCGGATTTTGCCGCAAATCCGCATAATCAACTCGAGAAATCTGGCAACTTCTGAACCAAGCTCCCGAAGTTTCTGGCGGGTCACTGTAGATGTGTGTGGCCTAGTTGGTCAATTCTGGCGGTTTCTGATCAATTTTTAATGATTTCAAACCGTTTTATGGTCGATTTGTAGCTCCTGGGCGATGTTACGACTGCTAACATGCCAGTCAACTTCGATCATTTCTCCAATTTTATCGACATTTTCGACGACCGGCCTACATGTGTGAGGTCCATCTTTAACATCAAAAATTCCTGAACGGAATCTACCAAAACAAAATTGCACATAATTGGCTGTTAAACACCATTCACAAATTTATTCGATTCGCTTGCATTTTCGCCTTTGTCAAAGAAAAAATGTAAAATGTGCCGAATACTCTCTTTGTTCACTTCCATTTTTAACATCCTGTAACTCACAACTGAATGCACCAAACAAAAAACAGCAAAAGTATTTTTTCTTTACTGTGAAATGTCACCCTTCCAATGAGCATAAATCTGAAATTATTTGATCGATACTTTACAAGAAATCCATCAGTACAGCCATCTGCCGAAAACATAATTGATTTATTTTTCACCAACCTAATATATTAAATGGCAGGCGCAAAATAAGGTTACGTCAGATATATTAACTGTTAACGCAAGACCCCTTAAGTTCGTCTATAAAGAGACTATCTTCTGCTCGTTTATAAAATTTGCTTTCAACGTGTTTATAATGACAGCCATCAACTCGTCTATAAAGAGCGCGTTTAGCTCGTCTATATAGAAATCTTCTTCAACTCGTCTGTAAAAACTCCCTTCAGCAAGTCAATAAAGATCCCCTTAAACTCGCCTATAAAGACTCTCATCAGCTCGTCTATAAAGATTCCCTTCAACTTGTCTACAATGACTCCCTTCAGTTTTTTTCGGCTAATTTATAAAGATTTTTCAGCTCTTTTCATTTCGCTTATGAATATTTCCTTCGTCCATAGAGACTCCCTTCAGCTCGACTATAAATACTCCATTCAGTTCGTCTTATCTACTACACTCTTTTTTGAGGTACTCAGAATGAACACTATGAACCAATGCTTTTCCAGAGTATCAGACTCTAAATAACTAGCGGGTGTACAAGCTATAACCTAACCTATCCTAATTTTAATATGTACATGATGAAGAGCTGATAGCCTTTGGTTTGATCAAACAAAATGCTGTTTTTATTTATGGTTATATATTGAGATTTTTATTAAGAAAAATTTATTATTATTTACGGTGCATTTCAAAACATTCTCTAATTCCATTTTCAATATTCCATCAACATAAAGCACAGTGGACTTAAATAAAACAATAAATTATCAGATTTAATCATGAAGATTTACAATGTTGGTCCAAAAATATGATATAATATTCGAAATTGTGTATAAAAAATAAATATTAAAATTCAAATTTAGAAAATCCTTTGATTTGTTTTTAATTTGCAACATCACTGTGCGTCGAAATCATTGCATCAAATTAAACACCGAATTATATTTTTATCCCACTACATAATAACCACAACCATGCCCAACAACAAGAAACTTAAGATGTAAGGCGGCAGAAGAGTTGTGCGTGCTTTCTGTTATGCTGAAATCAAGACGCACGATATCGGCCAAACCGAAACCAAAAATAAAAATAAATAAACAAAAAAAAAAAAAAAAGCAAATATACCAACCAAACATATTTAAGATTAATATAAACACACTTTTCTAAATCCTCCCAAATCTCGATGGCTACGTCAGCTTGTCCCCCCAAATATTTCTTTATTTTTATTAGAAAAAAAAACACAAACACTAAAAATACTAACTTAGTGCCCTGATTTGATTACGTGTGTGTGCACCTCTTCTTCGCAATGTTCAGCAAAGGGGAGACGACAACACATGTAAAATGTGCGTGCCTATGATTTGTTAGTTGAATGCATGGACTATACCACACATTCCCATATATTTGCATCTAAAGTATAACAAAAGATTTCCGTGTTGAATTCTATATTTTCCTGAATTTGGTTCAGTATTTGGTTCAAAACAACAACAATCAATGAATGACAAACGTACAAATGCAACAAATCTATATACATATATTTGTATGCCTTTAGTTCTGTTATGTTGTCTACGTCTTTGGCTCTCTGAAAATGTTGTAATGGGGAAGAAAAAATATGCTGAATAGGCGAAATTAATTATCATGTCAAAGATATGGGTGTTTCTAAATGTATTTTGAGAGTCTTGAATCAATATATTCATTCAAGACTCTCAAAGACATCACATTCAGTTCATCTATAAAGACTGTATTTATCTCCTTTCAGACTACAAAACTTATATTTAGCTCGTCTATAAAGATTTCCATCAGCTTATCTATAAAAGCCACCTTTAGCTCGTCTATAAATACTCCATATAGCTCGTCTATAAATAAGGAAAGTAGTATAAATACTACCTTCAGCTGTCGATAAAGACTTTCTTCAGGGCTCTAATAAAGACTACCTTCATGGTCAATAACGACTTTCTCCAGGTCGCTTATAAGGACTCCCTTCAGCTCGTCTATACAGACTATAAGACACGTGATATTGTCTATATCATGCGTTTCTATAAATACTCAATTCAGATCTCCCATCGTCCCGCCCATCTCGAAAGACATATCTTCGTCTTAAGACTTCCTTTCCCACGTGCGGAATGGCCCATATTGGTGTAACACAATTTTTGTTCAACTTTAAATAGGCAAAATAATGAAGTGTCGATGCTGTGAATGAAATCATTTGTTTGAATACTATTGCGGAAGACGGCAGCATCATCTCATCGTCGTGAGCAGCAGAAACCATCTACTAGTTACGTTGTACTAGGTCGAGAATTTCTAACAATATTTTTGATTACATCAGTACTTCATTTTAATTTCACTCATGGGGGGACATCATTAGAGGAGAATCATCACTTAGACGATTTTATATATTGGCTTTATGTATATTGGCTTTATCAACACACATATACACACACACTCTAACACATTATTATCATGTTTTTTATTTTTAATGTAACTTTTCTTTTTATTACAGATTTTTTCTTCTTCCGAAAAAAAAAACATTAGCCGTAGTGGACGGAGAAGAAATATGACAAAGCAACGCCATCGGTGCCTTACACAGTTTTTCCTGCTGTTGTTGTTGTGCATATGCCCTCTGATAATAGCTCAACAAGATTTCTATCAACAAAACCAATACTCAACACCATCTTCATCGTCATCATCGAACTATGATGTCTACAACAACAATAATAATCCATATTTAAACAACAACAATGATCCCTTTAATCAAAATATAAATGATCGAACACGTTATCGTACCGATAATAATAATCTGAATGATTTGGATCAGCAGGATTATGGTGGTAAACGCACGTCATATGGTGATGATGAACCCTCATTGAATCGTGGCAAAACGTCATACAATGTTAAGACCTCATTTCTGGAGGCATATCATGCCAAAGAACCCACCTATTTTATTGTTGCATCACGTATGGTACGTCCTGGCCTCATATATCAGGTATCCGTAAATATACTGCAGGCTCAGTATCCAACAACGGTACATGCTAGTATCTCATGTGATGGGGTACAGATTAGTGGCGAATCGAAAGAAGTTAAGGAGGGTGTACCGGAAACGTTGTTAATGCGTGTCCCACCCACAAGTGTTAGCGGCGAATATAAGCTGCGTGTAGAGGGATTTTACAACAACGTATTTGGTGGTTTGGCATTTATCAATGAGACCCGTTTGACATTTTCACAACGGTCAATGACCATATTCATTCAAACGGACAAACCACTGTATATGCAAGGTGAAACGGTACGTTTTCGCAGTATACCAATTACAACGGAATTGAAAGGTTTCGACAATGCCATTGATGTTTATATGTTGGATCCAAATCGTCACATTGTACGACGTTGGTTGTCAAGGTATGTAGTAGGATTAATAAATGGAATAACAAAATTAATTAAATACAAATATGAAGGAAGTGTAATGGATAGAAAAAAAGAAAAGAAGTCGACTAAAAAGACTTCCTTCAGATTGTCTATAAAGGTTTCCTTCAGCTTGTATAAAAACATTCCTATCAGATCGTCTAAAAACATTCCCTTCAGCTCATCTATAGAGACTATAAGTCTGCCTTCAGCTTGTCCATAAAGTCTCCCTTCAGCTTGTCCATAAAGTCTCCCTTCAGCTCATCTACAAAGGTCCTGATGTCTATAAAGACTCCCTTCAGCTCGTCTATAAAGTCTCCCTTCAGCTCATATACAAAAATACTCTCTTCAGGTCGTCTATAAAGACTCCCTTCAGCTCATCTACAAAAGCGCCCATCAGCTTGTCTAGAAAGACTCCCTCCTATCAGCTCGTCTATAAAGGCGGCCATCAGCTCGTCTATAAAAACTCTCTTCATGTCGTCTATAAAGACTCCCTTCCGGCTCGTCTATAAAGACTCCCTTCCGGCTCGTCTATAAAGACTCCCTTCAGCTCCTCTATAAAGATTCCCTTTCAGCTCGACTATAAATTCAGTTCGTCTATAAGGAATCCCTTTCAGTTCGTCTATAAAGACTTCCTTTAAGCCCGTCTATAAAGACTCACCAAATTTAAACATTTATACTTTATAAAATTAAAAATAAACTTTATCCATTTCTTCCACAGGCAATCAAATTTGGGTTCCGTCTCATTGGAATATAAACTATCCGATCAGCCAACATATGGCGAATGGACAATACGTGTTATCGCCCAAGGGCAAACTGAAGAAAGTCACTTCACCGTCGAGGAATACTATCAAACACGTTTCGAAGTTAATGTAACAATGCCGGCGTACTTTTTCAATACCGATCCGTATATTTATGGTACTGTCATGGCCAACTTTACAAGTGGTGCACCGGTCAAGGGTAATCTAACGATAAAGGCCTCAATACGACCCATCGGTTATTTCAGCAATCAGGCACTGAATGAAAAATTCCGTTTGGGTAGATCACCGCTGGAGATGTCCACCACCCTGGAACATGAACACCAGTTGCGTTACAATCAAAATTACAATCCAACACAATACAATCCGAATATCATCAATACCGATTATCCAACACAATTGCCACAAGATCAACAATTCAATTTCAATCAATATGTCATCGAACGCAATTATCAATTCGATGAGGAGTGGCCGTTTTGGGTACAGAAACCAGATGTACCGGAAACATTTGATCCGTGGACTGGTGAATATAAGAAAACGCTGCCCTATTTGCGTTATTTCAACGGCACCTTTAATTTCAAATGGCCAATGCGTGAATTGGAGGGCTTGGTGCCGAATTTGGCCAATATGGAAGTGCTGATTACGGCCACGGTGGGAGAGAAGTTCTATGATGAAATTATATCCGGTTATTCGATTGCCCGGGTATACAATTCAAGTATCCGTGCCAAATTCCTTGGCGATACACCGCAGGTGTTTAAACCTGCCATGCCATTTACCGCTTATGTGGCTGTGGAATATCATGACGGATCTCCCATCGACGAGAATATATTGCGCCAAGGTTTTATGGAGGTGAATGGTTTTGTGGAGAGTAAATCGGGTGGACGACGGGATTGGCCAGCTCAACGTTTGAAAATGATGACGCAGTCACCTGGTGTGTGGGAAGTTAAAGTCGATTTGCGCCATGACCTGCAGTTGGACGAACGTGCCCAGTCTAGAGATTTCCTTAATGGCGTTTCACAGATGCGTTTGCAGGCACAATTTGTAGATCCCCGAGGCGAGAGGGCACAAACTGAATTGTTATTGGTGGCCCATTATTCACCGCGTAACCAACACATTAAAGTAACCACCAGTACTGAGTCACCTGTTGTTGGCGAGTATATTATCTTCCATGTTCGTACCAACTTCTTTTTGGAAGATTTCCATTATCTGATCATGTCCAAGGGTGTTATTCTAATGAATGACCATGAGTCGATAAGGGAGGGTATCAAGACAATTGCAGTGGTCCTTAGTGCGGAGATGGCGCCGGTGGCAACCATTGTTGTTTGGAAAATTACACAGCAAGGGCAAATTGTTGCCGACTCCTTGACCTTCCCTGTCAATGGCATATCAAGGAATAATTTCACAGTGTATATTAATAATCGCAAGGCCAGAACCGGCGAGAAAGTGGAGGTGGCAATTTTCGGTGAACCAGGTTCTTATGTGGGTTTGTCGGGTATTGACTCAGCTTTCTATACCATGCAGGCTGGAAATGAGTTGACCTATGCCAAGGTCATTACCAAAATGTCGACGTTTGATGAGCAGACTAATGGAACCTATAAACAAATATGGCACTCCCATGCCGGTAATCCCGACGAATTAGTCTATTATCCTGCCTCGTCATTTGGCATCGATGCCAATCGGACGTTTGAGTATTCCGGTTTGGTTGTCTTCACCGATGGTTATGTGCCGAGGCGATATGACAATTGTAATGCCTCTTTGGGTTATGGTGAATGTTTATCGGGACGTTGTTATCGCTTGGAAAAGAAATGCGATGGCTTGTTCGATTGTGACGATGGCACAGATGAAATTGGTTGTCGCGTACGCAACGATACGGATTTGGAAAATTATCGCAAATATCGTTTCAATCGTGTACTGAGGCACTATGAAAATGTGTGGCTTTGGCGTGATGTTAATATTGGTCCTCACGGACGTTATATCTTCAATATTGAGGTGCCGGATAGACCTGCCTACTGGATGGTTAGTGCGTTCAGTGTAAGTCCCTCCAAAGGATTTGGTATATCTAAACAGCCGATTGAATATGTGGGTGTACAGCCGTTCTTCATAAATGTTGAAATGCCAACCGATTGCCGTCAGGGCGAACAGATCGGTATACGTGTCACAGTATTCAATTATATGACGACGCCCATCGAAGCCATTGTCGTACTGCACGGCAGTCCTGATTATAAATTTGTTCACGTTGAAGAGAATGGTATTGTGAGGTCGTATAATCCACGAACATCCTTTGGCGAGCATCAATTCTTCATCTACTTGGAAGCTCAGGGAACATCAATTGTTTACGTGCCGATTGTACCACAACGTTTGGGTGACATTGATGTCACGCTACATGTGGCCACGTTGTTGGGTACCGATGAAATAACACGACGTCTGCACGTTGAAGCTGATGGTTTGCCACAATATCGCCATCAATCCATACTGCTGGATCTGTCGAATCGTGCCTATGTCTTTGAATATATGCATGTGAATGTGACACAAACGCCGGAGATACCCTACCAGGCAGATCGTTACTTTGTCTACGGTTCGAATAAGGCACGCATCTCAATTGTGGGTGACGTTGTGGGACCGATTTTCCCCACAATGCCCGTGAATGCCACCTCCCTATTGTATCTGCCCATGGAATCCGCCGAACAAAATGCCTTCTCATTTGCTGCCAACATGTACACTCTGCTGTATATGCGTCTAATCAATCAAAGGAATAAAACTCTGGAGAAAAATGCCTTCTATCACATGAACATCGGGTATCAACGCCAGCTAAGCTACATGAAACCGGATGGCTCGTTTTCACTGTTCCGTTCGGATTGGAATAACTCAGCATCCTCTGTGTGGTTGACAGCCTATTGTGTGCGTATTTTCCAAGAGGCCTCTTTCTATGAATGGGAAAACTTTATCTACATCGATTCGACGATAATTGAAAAGAATATCAGATGGCTTTTGCAACATCAAACACCTGAGGGAGGTTTCTATGAAACCACCTGGTTGCCAGATCGCAAAATGAATCGTACTAATTTTGCAAACAACACAGCGCTGCAGAATCGTAATATCACCCTGACGTCGCATGTTCTCATAACTCTGGCCACCGTCAAAGATTTGTCGGGATCATTGGGAGCTCGTGTGGCATTAGCCCAACAAAGAGCGATATCGTGGATTGAACGTAACATGCAATTCCTGCAGGATACACCCGAGCCCTATGATGTTGCCATTGCCGCTTATGCATTGCTGTTGAATAAATCGCCAATGGCAGAACATGTTTTCGGCATACTACAAAGGCATGCACGCATTGTGGGTGATTTCATGTATTGGGGTAACAGCGAGCTGCCGCCACCACCTAAAAAATTGGAAAATCAAAAATGGTTCTCGTTGCCACGTCTGCCCTATGAATATGATTCGCTTAATATCGAAACAACAGCCTATGCTCTACTGGTTTATGTATCGCGACGTGAGTTCATTATTGATCCGATCGCTCGTTGGTTGAACGCTCAGCGTTTGAATGATGGTGGTTGGGCCTCAACACAGGATACAAGTGCGGCATTGCGTGCGTTAGTCGAATACACGGTGCATTCACGTATTCGTGAGGTATCCTCGTTGACGGTGGAAATTGAAGCCTCCTCACAGGGTGGAAAGACCCAAACGTTACACATTGACGACAAAAATTTGGCACAATTACAATCGATTGAGGTAAGTGTGACTATTAGATAAAGTTTTGAAAATTGATAACAAATTGAAAATTCGTTTTTATTTTCTCTGTGTATCTTCCTTAGATTCCAAATGCCTGGGGTACTGTGAAAGTTCAAGCCAAGGGTGCCGGTTTTGCCATTCTGCAAATGCATGTCCAGTACAATGTTGATATTGAGAAATTCCAAACGAAACCACCAGTTCCGGCATTTGGTTTAAAGGTCAAACCCATATTCCATGGTAGAAATCAGTCTCACATTTCCTATTTGGCATGTCAAAAGTAAGGCATATTTTTTGTGTGTTTGTTGTTTGGAAAAACCGAACGCAAGACAAAATTATTAATTTCGTTTTTGTTTGTCTAATCTCTGATTTACAGTTGGATTAATCGTCAAGAATCTGAACGTTCAGGTATGGCTGTTTTAGATGTTACAATACCGACTGGCTATTGGATACAACAACAAAAACTTGATTCATATGTCCTCAGCAATCGTGTACGCAATTTACGCCGAGCTAAATATCAAAATTCGAAAGTTATATTCTATTTCGATTATGTAAGTATGCGAATTAATATAGAAAATATATATGTGCGTGTTTAATAGCAAGTGGAAAAGGAATTTCAAAAATATTCTAAGAAAGGACAGTTTCCATTGGTTTCAAAGGAGAGATGGGGGGTTATTGATCTGTATGTTGTGTTTTGAAAATGTGCGTGATTCGTCGTTATCCCTGATATTATTCTAAAAAAGTGTTTGGTCATACGTGTCGATGGATATCATCGAACATTTTAATTCAAAAGTTTATTTTAAATTAAGATTTAATTAAAGTGTTAATTTATATTTGCGTTTTTATTTCTAGCTCGATCAAGAAGATGTATGCGTTAATTTCACAATTGAACGTTGGTATCCCGTTGCCAATATGTCTAGATATTTACCAATACGTGTCTATGATTACTATGCTCCGGGTAAGTTCAAAAAAAATAAATTTATATTAATATTTAATACCGTTTCCACTTCTCTCTCTCTCTTCCAGAACGTTTTAATGAAACAATATTCGATGCCCTGCCAACGTATCTTTTGAATATCTGTGAAGTATGTGGTAGTTCACAGTGTCCATATTGTTCTATATATAATATGGGATGGCGAGCCTCAATGTCTGTATCACTGATTGTGTTTAGCGTTTTTGTCTACTTAATGCGCAGCCGTACCCATGTTCTGCTCAATGTAATACACCTAATGGGCGTTTAGTCGACCTCTTTAAATAGCCAGTCCAAAATACCACAAAAAACAATTTCCCAAGAAGTAGTAAATCAAGTGTATTATTAGTGTTTTTTATTTTATTTTTATTATTAACTTATAAGAAACAAAGAAGTCAACAACAACAACCAATCAACGATTTATTGAAGAGAAATCGTCCCAATGCAAAAGCATTTTTCCAATTCGAATATTTTTATTTTTTCTTTTTAATCTCTTTTGAAAACATATCCGTCCAGATTGTATGCTATACATATATATTAGATAACAAGCGAATATATAAAAAATAATTTTTAATTTTAGTTTTAAGTTGAAACAAGAAAAAAACATTATAGAAGAAGAAATCTCAAATGTACAAAACAATAATTGTGAACCATTATAAAATGCAAAGAGATCATAAACCATAGATAGCCTTCTCTAGCACTAAGAAGTTTTCGGGCAAACGATGTATGTAATGCCAGCCATTTTAATTATGCTTTCTTTTTTTCTTCTTTTTTAATGCTAACAAAAATCTTTTTGTATATAAATGTAAACTGAAAAAATTCAACACAACTTTTGAAAGCTTTATAATGACAAAATTTTAAAACCATGATAGAAATTTAAATTTTGTTTTTTTTTTTCAATTACATTACAATCGACCACAAATGATGTTAACACACATAGTGTGTGATGTGTACTTGTTTTCATTCTGTATTTGTCTCAAATCTCAATAATGCCACAAGTGTCTTATTGCATTCAGCATTTTTTCCAACAAAGAATAAAAAACAAATCAACAAAAAACCATAAATGCCTTAGATTTTAGAAATCATAGTAGCTTTTATTATATAAACATACACAAATACGAGAAAAAAAAAGATATTTAAAATGTCAGAAATGAATATCAATATGTTTTTTTACCAGCAATATCAACAATATATAAAAATTAATTTCTTTAATTTGTTTCCACGAATATATCAACCGAATCTCCATATCATTGTTTTTTGTATTGTACTGTAGTTTAGTTGCTAAGCTTTAATCTAAATATTTTAACGAAAAAAAATTTCAAATCTCTCCGATCATAACGTCGTCGTTATAATAAGAGTAAATTTTTATATACATGCATACTACTTACCATCTTGCAAAACAAGGCAACAAATGTAATCCTTCCGTCCTATTTATAATTCAATTATTATATTTTTTATATAGAAGGAAACCACCCTAATAAAACTATACATAATTTTTTAAAAGAAAATAAGTGTTTTTATTACTTTTAAATCAATAAAAAGTTACGTTTTAAACAAAAACAAAAAATGATGATTCGATAATCCTGAATTGATTCGTGTAGATCGATAGAGAGCATCGGAAAATTACATTAACGCCATCAACGACGTTTGTAACGATATACATACTGCAATGTTGACTAAACAATTCCTGCTGACATTCTATATCAGATTTTAATGAGTGATTCACATTCGCCAGAACTTGAGATGTTATCGTGCAGACATATAAGTCGTCATTCTCTCGGTCGTCAACATATCTTCGATAGCGAACACCACGAAAACTTTACATCAACCGGCAGAAGCCATACACGGCTACAGATACAATAAAGTCCTACAATTTGAGACAGTGTGCCGTATTTAATTTATTTTGCTTTTTTCCAATAATTCCAAAAAGTCAATTTGTAATTTAATTCTTAACTTAATTCCTGATTATGGGAAATGTTTTATTTTCTTGAGGGAAGTAACTGGTTACACAGTTATTCAACCCGTAATTACTTACTTAGCTGGCTTGTGACAGAACTTTCGTTCCATAAGCCAAGCATAAAAAAGATTTCCAGGCGCGTCGGTCTTTTCCGCAGTTTTTCCAGTTTGAAAGATCATATTCGGCAATGTTGTTTTCCACTTGATCTTTCCACCATATTCGTGGCCTTCCCCTTCTGCGTAAACCATCAGCTGGTTCGGTTTTATATGCCTTTTGGGTTGGGACATCTTCATCCATTCTCACAACATGATCTAGCCAACGTAGTCGCTGCAGTTCAATATGTCTAACAATGCCGATGTCCGAGAAAAGCTGGTACAGTTCATGGTTCATTCGACGGCGATATTCACCGTCAACGCAGATCGGCCCATAGATCTTTCGGAAATTTTTTCTCTTGCTTCAGAACTTTATAATAGCATGGGTAGTATCAGCGTCTTGTAGAGTGTGAGTTTGGTCTGGCGGGAGGTGGCTTTACTTTTGAGTTGCTTGTTCAGAACATAGTAGCATCTGTTCAACCCGGAATTTCGGGTAAAAAAAATAATAATAAAATCATGCGATCAGCCGTGTCGCACCACATCTGTCAAGACTACAGGTGTTATCGTGAATGTATCTAAAACGTCATGCAATCCGGCGCCATACTTTCTTAAGGGCGTAATTGGTCACCCGGTTATTCGATTCGAAATTTCAGGTACAAAAATAATAATTATAATATAATTTACCATATTGAAGAGATAAAAGTATAATTTTGACGGTGTTTAAAAATGTATTTTCAAACCCCGAGTTTCTAGCTCTATGATTTCCTCCCTTATTGTACATAGTACCGGGTACAACCCGGGTTTGGTAGCCGAAGCTGGGGCAACTAATTTTGGAAAGGTAAAAGTGGATTTTTTGGAGCGGTTTTTTGATAGTGTTTAAAAAATGTGAAACTTTAATGTGATTCCCATATTGTACATAGTTTGGTGCCCGAATTTCGGGTAGAATAACCGATAAAACGGTTACGTCCCCAAAAAATAAAACATTCCAATAAATAGGGTAACAATGCGTAGCTCAGGATTTTTAGAGAAAATTGGATTATTTTTATTAAATAAGACTTGCTTTCTTTGACCAATTGAAATTTGACCAATTGAAGTGATTCCCGTGCAAAATTCAAAAATTATTGGAAAAACTAAAACTATCTTTCCCTACATTATACATAAAACAGCTGTCCACTAAAATCAAAATCGCGTTTTTTCTGTATTCATTCGTAGACATCACTGAAGAGAATTGTGTTTCTTAATCAATCTGGCATCACTATTTAATATTTTAATACGGCATCGTCATTTTACCGCTAGTGTTTGGTGGAGTGTTTTCAGTGATTTTAGCTGTAGATTATTGTTTATAATTATTAAAAAAAATATATATTTAATAAAAAACCTATAAAACCAAAAGCCCGCAAAATGCTTGTAAGTAAATTTGAATACTAAATCCATTTACTTGTGTAACAACAAAAACATTCCCCCTTCACCCCCTTTTTCAGGCTCAAAAAGTTGAAGAGGCTCTGAATGATATAAACAAACTCCATATAACTGTTTTGGAACATGCGGCAGAAATTTCTCCACTTATCAAAGGAAGATCCCTGGGACCGGATGTCGATAATAAAGAAAACAGTACACAGAAGCGTAGTGACAAAAAGGAAAATGTCTGGATATCAACGAATAAAAGTAAAACACCCACCAAACAATCGCCCGCTTCCAAAACTACACAGAACCATACTACTGATACATTGGATTTCAATAGTCTTCAGGTAGGATGGAAGGCCGATCTGATATAGTTTGATATAGTTTCCAAATCCAATTCCCAACGTATGCTGCTGTGTCTTCCGATTTTCCGAATTACCAACATTTTTTTAATCGACACGACATATCTTATATCTTTTTAGAATCTTGATGTCAACACTGTAAATTCCAGTATTTTATTACGTGAAGCCGAAGAGGCAAGAAAACGAACCATACGACAGCAGGTTCTGGATATGCACGAAAAACATTTAACCATAATGCAAGAATGCCTCAAGCCCATCGAAGAACAGTGCAAAGAAGAGAAACGTAAATGGTTGGAGAAGAAACGTCAAAGTGATAGTCAAATCATTGCTCGAGCGGAACAACAATCCGAATTGGATCTCAAGGAACATCAACGACAATTGGAGACGCTACGTCTTCAAACTCAACGACAATTACAAGTCATATCGTTTCAGGGTATTGCCCAGTACCAATCAAAATTTCGTAGTAAATATGAAGCTATTGTTAATTTACTAATGTCCATTGACAAGTCGGTGCTGATGTCCTGCAACGAATATAACAACAAATTGAAGGAACTTATACAAATGTTTGAACAATTGATAAATAAAATTAAAAGCGGGACATGTGGCGGAGAGGAATTGAAAACTGCGGACAATCTCTGTAAATCATTAGCCGCATTAGAGGTGGGTATTTTGGAAGCACTGAAACAAGAGAAGGAAAAACAGGAAAATATTGCAAAGGAGGAACAGCAAAAGGCGCAGAGGGCTAATGAACAACAGCTGCAGCAGCAACAACAAGCGGCTGCACAACAACATCAGCAACAACAACAACAACCGCCCTTGCCACAAGAACCACCTGCACAACAAGCGCCAGCACCACCTGCCCAACAACAGAATGTAACCCCCCAAACTGAGGCAACACCACAACAACAGCAGCAACAAAATGTACCCGAAACTAAATCTTCCGACGAAACAGATAAAACCACAAATATTAGCTCTCAGCATGTTAGCCAAGAACGTCTTGAATTCTATACAAAAATCAATACTTTCTATTTGGAAAAAGTGGAACGTGTAAAAGCTCTACAGTCCGATGAATCGATGAAAAAATATCGTTTCGATTGTCAAAAATCCATAAACATACCCGTCAATGCCATATCCGCTGTTAGTCCTCAACATATACAGGATAAATTTGATAAATTATATTCATTTGTTTCTGCACAACCGCCTCTGGGGCGAGACTACTGTATACTGCTGATGGCCAAAAAGTTTGTCGGACAGGGAGAAACTACAATTTCCAGCAACCCCCAGGCAGCCTTTCCCGTTGCTTCCGTCATTGTTTCCCTATGGAAATGTATGCCTGAATTTGGTCAACTTTTCTTGGCCTACTGTTTTAAAGAATGTCCCTTCCTTGTACCATATTTTATACCACAAAAAAAGGACCAATCTCCCGAGGAATATTCAAAAGTTCTGGGATTTCGAACGGTCGATGGACAGCCCGAGAAACAGGAAATGTATTTGAAACGTCAGGCGGGCATAGCACGTTTATATGCAGCGGTCATGGTAACAAATGGACGCAAACAAGATAGTTCGCCACATCCGTATGGTATAGAAAATGCTTGGCGTTGGTTAACAAATATGATGGATATTGCACCGTTGCCATTCCTCTCGGCCACACTGATAATGGAAATTTTACAGATAGTTGGTAGCGATATGTGGTCCAACTACGGCCGACAATTTGTCAAACTTCTGATGTACATACAACAACATTATTTTGCCAAACTGTCCGATGGAGATACGGGTGGTCCCAAGGCAAGATTGGAATTATTGTTAAATAATTTCTTGAGAGATGGTCAAATACAAAAGCCAGCTGGAATGTTACCATTAGGATTTTGGTGATATTATCAAATGACACGACGATTCTTATTAGTTTAGTTAGATTAAGGATCAGAGAAAAAAATATTAAATTATTTAAGTGTTAATTTTTTTGTTTGTTTATTTCGAAATGTGTGTGTAGTATCCTATTTTTCTCGGAGATGGTGTTCCGAGAAGGATTGTGTGTTTTGAGGGGAATAAGTTGTTTATCGGAACAAATGTAAATTAAACCAGTGAGCGGAGCAGTATAGTCGGACGGGGCCGACCATACGATACCCTACACAACTACCACGAACTCTAACTTTCTGAGGATGTTTATTCCGAGTCTGAGTAATATTTCGAGATATTTGCCCCCTCTTGTCCGATTAGAGGCCAAAAACACCTCTTCCTTACTTTTTTTCGAATATTCAGTCTAGTCCTTATAATTACTTGTCCAGATTACCTTCACGGTGGGTTGTGTTGTGATTTTCGGATTATACTCTACTCGAAAACATACAAAAATTATGTTTTCGGTCCATTTCATCAAATATTCCAAAGTCATCAGCGCGATATTTCACCCTCTAATGTGGTAATGGGTTACTAAATAATATCTGAATACGTAAGCACCTGTAAATATTTGACTGTAACTCCCACATCTGAGTAGATACATCACTATATTTGGTATCAATTTAAAGGCCAACCACTCCTCTTGGATATGCTATCAACTCCTGGGGTCTACATCCTCCAGGAGTAAATATATATGCCATAGAATACAAATTTTGTCATTTTTCACACAAAAGTCAGGGTCCATTTGACCCGCTAAATATTGACCGATCTTTATCAAAACATGCATGCTTATTCTCTGGCCCGATCCCCTTCTTCATGCAAAAATTCGCGGTGTTTGGGCCATAATTGCGACCTCTGGAGCGACCAGAAAAACCGACAAAAATAATGTTTTTGGTCCATTTCATCCCCTAAATATTAACCGATCTTTTCCAAAAACAATAGGGGTCTTCATTGGCCAGAACCCTTCCTACATGCAAAATTTCGTGAAGATTGGTCCATAACTGCGGCCTGTATCGTGTTTACAAATTATAATGGACAGACGGACGGACGGACACACATGTCTAGATCGACTCAGCTAGTCGAGATATGACGATCGGTATACTTAAAGGTGGGTCTAGGACCAATATTTCGCGGCGTTACAAACATTTGGGGCTGCACAAAGCTATAATACCCTGACAACATAGTTGTGTAGGGTATAATAAGAAAATTAAATAAGAATTTGACGTATTGTGTGGAAGAAAGTAATAAAGGAAAGTATTTTTAAGAAAACGGAATTGTTAAAGCGAAAGGGGGAATTAAAGGGAACGTTGATCTGCGTCTTTAACTTTGGAACCAGATTTATGGAAATTATAATATATATTCTCAAACATTTCAGTTACTATAAAAACTGAAGGCTTCAGCAGAGTTCACAAACTAACAAATATTGACGATGTAAGCGCGAAAACTTCTAGATATTTAGCCAATATCTCCTCTGGACGGTCCGGCTTTTTATACAGACGGATCCAAGTTGGAAGAAGGCACAGGGGCTGGCGTATACTGTGAAAGGCCAGGCCTTAAGTTAACCTACAAGCGGGATTGAAACTGTAGTGTTTTCCAAGCTGAAATCGTCGCGATTTGGAAGGCAGCGGAATTGATAAAAAGACTGGATGCAGAGGTCGTTGAACCGGTGACTATCTTCGTGGATAGTCAAGCGGCCCATCAAATATTGTTTGGAAGAACTTACAGCACGGTGTCCTGTGTTGGGTACCAGGACATCATGGGTAATGAATTAGCTAGACGGGGATCTCAATCCACAGATCTAGCAATTGATGACTCAATGAAACCACCCATATGTAATCTTTATCGGAGTGTTGAGGATTTCTTCGACGATAGAGTCTATGAACTTTGGCACAACGAACCTAGGTGCAATGTGTCAAGATCTATTTGTCTACCAAAAGGACACACTGTTGAACCTGAGCAAAGCTTAAATAAGAGTAATGACAGGAATCATTACGGGTCATTACTAGTAAATGGGATCATGATGCAATCGATTACTGTAGACTCTTGGCGAGGAGGAGACGGAGACAATTGAGCATCTCCTGTGTCTTTGTCCAGACCTGGCTTACAGGCGGCACAGACTAGTGGTTGCTCACTTTCCACCGAGTCTTAGCTTCTTCTCAACAACTGAACCTGCTCTAATCTATAGCATAATTAGAAACCTAAAGTGTTTGGGAAAGTGCAACCTTGACACGTAATATTTCTTCTGTCCAATCTCTATAGCCATCGATACTATTTCAAACTTACCTTCTTATATTTTTTTTTGTAAGCTTCTTATCTCTCTATATTCCCCTACTTTTCTCCCATATAGATCTCTCCATATCTCTTTCTTTTCGTTAATGATCACAATGGACCTGACGGTCTCAGAGTGCTGCAGCCACATAAGTGACTGCACAACCCCAAACCTAGCCTAGCCAATATCTCTATCTTCTTCCGGGAACGCAATGTTCAATTCAACATCTTCCCCAGTTCAAATCACATCAAACAGAAGGTGAAAGCTAGAAACAAAGTTCTAAACATCTGACTCGCCCATCCTTGGATAAAGATAAGGAAACTTTGATAACGACATATAAGGTCATAGGTCATCTTGCTTAATTATACAACCCAAGTCAAGATTTCCTTCCATACGAGAAGAACAGTGGATGTCCTCGCTAACATCACAAAATTTTCCCAGTATCAAGGAAAGCTATAAAGTTGAAGATCACCAAAAGCGTTGCACACCTTCCACGCATATAAGTCGGGAACAAAAGCAGACCGTGCCAAAATCCTTTTGCCGTCAATCATGCCGCACTGTTTCAGATCGCCGACCATGGTTTAAACTTTGGAATAGTCCCAACAGATCGCAGCTATCTGTAATCAGTCAGAACGCCGCATTCTAATTACACCGGAGGGCCATTAAAATGAGGATGCGAGGGTTCTTGTTTTAGTTCAGGGATATACTTTTGTGTTTCAAAAAGAGAATGGGAATACTCAAATAAATGACCATATGGTGGATAGAATTTTTGTCCTGGTATACGACATCTGCTGACATTGACTATCTGCATTAATATCTCTTGGATTTTCGATATTATTCGTAACTTGGTCTTCATAGAGACCTCATCTCACACAATGCTCCTCAACTTCCCAATAACGATATCTTAGTTTATTCATCTTTACGTAGTTGTTGATACCCCTTGGCGGATTAAATGTTCTGCTACATCGTCTTTGTTAAGAATTCCATACGATATCTTTAATTATTCTCTCTCTCTCGTGGTGTTTGCCCACCTCAATTCTTTAAGAAAACCATAAACAAACGAACGCATTGAAATATATTCGAACAAATGAATAATTTATTGATTATTATTATTGTTGTTATTATTAATTATTTGATAAAGTGCATATTAAGTATTGTATGTTTATTTTGCAACGACATTCGATCATGATTTGTCTGATGCAAAACAAGGTCTGGAGGAGATTAGTAGTAATGAATTCAATATTAATTTGTGGTTAGTGCATTTAATAATTCGTATTGTTTTCGCCTTCATTCTTTCAATTCGTAATTTAGTCCTTTCTCTATCAACCACTTGACGATGAAGAAGAAGCTGCTGCGGCAGAGGATACTGTTGTGGGCAATGTGGACAATACATCCTCAATAAACGCTTGGGGATTTTCAATATCACCAAAGAGACCTATAATTTGATTTATTCATCGTTTATTATGATAATATTCTAAAATAAAAAAATGTCAAGTCAACAACTACTTACCAGCCACATCACAAAACTCTTCAAACGATGTACAAGGCAGGAAATCATCGGTAAATGTTTCCAATATCGAATCAGTGTGCTTCAACATAGTTTCATCGTTTTTACGAATATAATTGAACAGAGAGATCGACCAGTCGTCTTCCTTGGGTGTTGATACAGTTTTGAATAGCGTACTATAGAGCAGATCCAATAGAGCCCAAATCATCAGGTAGGGTTTGTAAACCGAGTACTCCTTTTCTTGTCTATCGGCTGGTGACAATAATGCCTTACACAATACCGACGGTGATACATGGCGGGCTTGGGCAACGGCAATCAAACGTTTCAAGTGGGCAATACGATGTTTTTGCCAAGTCTCGTGAGAGTGCAGAGCCAGCGAGACAGTCAGCATGTAGAGCGGACCCTCAACATCATATGCACTTTCAAGCCATTTCTCTGAGGGCGCTGCTGTCAGATAGGCCACCAATGTCTTACTATCCCTTGCTGCTGAACGCGATGAGAGCAGTAGATAAACGGCATAGAACAGCAAATAGGGAACAAAGTGCATATTGGACTGGGGACCACCACCACCGGCATCTTCATGGAAGCTACGTTCCCAGGCAAAGCGCATTAGCAAGAGTTTCAAATCATGGATACTATTGTTGTAGGAGATATCGCAACGTTGGGTGCTCTCTTGCATGTAGCTGGCATGGCGGGTCATGCAGGCTGAAAAGGCTGCTTCGGAAACTTCAGGTCCCCAAAGAGGCAGTAGACCATTGCAGCGGGTATTAGCATTTTGCAAACTAGCCCGTTCCCATTCATCACGACCCCTTGCCAAACGTATGGCTGATGTATGACAGTCAACGTGGACCACATTGAAATGGGTAACTGTGGTATAGCCGATTGTTTTGCGGGATTTAATTTCAAATTCCTCGACATTGCAACGTTTGGTGAAGGTATAAATACCCAAGACTTTCGTAGGTTGGCAGGCATATCCCTCGCGGCAGATAAAGCAGGTAAGACCTGTCTCATCGCGTAATTTTTCAATTTTCTGCAAAATGGAACCCTTGGCCGTGACTTGACCTTTTTCGTTGGTACGCATACCCAAGGCATCCAATTGTTTTTCTCTTGTGGCCATGGCTAGACGTTTCTTTTCAGCTCGGGTAAAGTCTCTGACCTCTTGCACCCTAGATGCTGTGGCCGCATCAGTGCACAAAGCCTCCAAGAGGTTTTCAGCCAAACTGCCAACATGTTCATCACTCGACACCTGTTCCAAACGATGTATAATGGGAATAATATCTTTGCTGATCGCCACCTGGGTAGCTTCATGTTTGGTTGCCAAACCGGTGAGGAATCGTAAAATATACTTAAGGCTTGGTCGGGAAATAAACTCTTTCAGTTCATCAGAATCGGTTCTCAGTAGGGTAGGTTTAACGCAAGGCGCATAACGGGTAATATAATCAATGGCCTTCTCCACAATACCCAAGCCAACAATGTAATCTTTAAGAGTACCACCAATACAGTTGTGTTCAATTTGATTGGTCAGCACACAAAATAGTTCCAATTTGAATTCCTCCTCAGCGGTACGTTCGCCATCAAACTTGTCAAAGTCCAAGGTATCCTTGAAGTAATTGCACAGCAGGGCCATTTTAACTTCATTGCCATAGACCAAGGCGGCTAGAACACGAATCAAATGCCTAAGTACGGATGGGTTGTTGCGAACATTGGAACACTCGGTACACGAAATAAGGGCTGTCACATATTCAGGGCCACCAAAGGTCAAGGAGAACTGAAGGAACGAGTCCAGGGTATCACTTGCAGCCTTCGATAATATGGTTTCCATAATTTCCAATAGCTGTTCGGTAACTGACGACTGAATGGAATCTGGTTCAGACTGTAGACACATTTGCAAAACTTTGAGCAAAGTATTGACGGCACCCAATTCCGGCTGGCAAAGGACATCTTGGCAACGTCGCACTTTTACACAAATAAGGAAAAGCTTCAGCAGGACTTGTATCAATTCACGCGATCTGGTTATATTTTGTAGACTGCCAATGCGATCCAACATTACCTTCAAGCCATTGCAATCGGCCAAAACATTTGCCAGACGGAATAATTGTTCCGTATCCACTTCCTCCTGGGACTTATTGTTCAGCGTTTCAACAAATTCTTCGGTGGCATCTCCTAGCAAACCACGCATACGATATACAATACGCATGGCATCCCGCTCACCACCTTCGGCTAGCCAGATTTTCTTGTAGACATCCTTAACGGGCAAGTCGAGGCTAATGATTTTATTGTTGACCAACAATTCCATGCCATTGTCATCTTCCAGCAGAGCAATTAGCTCACAATCGGTACATATTTTATTTTTAATGTCACGCATTAGTGGTCCCAGGCCTTGTTCGGTGGAAGGATAGGGATTGCCCAACATACGACCTTGCAAGAAATCCTCCTGCTGTGGGTCCTTTTCGAGTGTCATGAAGAATTCGGATTCATCATTTTCTTCAGGATGTATAATGGAATACAAACGTTCGAATATGAAAACTGGAGTTTTTATATCTTTCATGGGTGTCTTCTCCACAGTGTCGATAAGGATTTCCATAAAGGCTCGTGTCTCTTCCTCGGTTCCACTGGTCATTTCTTCCAACATATCGAGGAGTTTCTCTTGGGCATCATCGATTAGTCGGGTTCTTTGTACCACCAATTTACGCAGAGACAAATAACCCTCGAGTACCGGGCCAAGCAGACGAGTTTTGTATACCTGACGAATTTGTGGACTGTCGAGGAACAGAGCCAACAACTCAACAAATTGTCGCAAAGCATATCCTTGCGATAAGTCCGAAGAAAGTGTGGTCTCCTCTAGACGATGGATTTTCTTAATTTCCTCTGCCAATAGCTGGGATATCTCCAAGAGAACGCCCTTCAGGGCCAAGTATTCACGCCAAGGTGTATCCACAGCCAGTAAACGATATAGGGATAGGAAGTCTGTGCTGGCCTCGCCGGCTTCACCCACATGTTTCAGGAAGGTAGTAAGTAAATTGAGTATTTCTCGTTTACGATCATGGGTCCTACTCAAGACGGTAATCAATGTGCATACCAGGGGACGTCTGAAGCGGGAATTGTTATTAAACAAGATCGGTTGCAACCACGTTGCTGTCAATTGCAAAGGTTTATAGGGTTGGCCACGATTGAGATGACGCAATCGCCAACGTTGCCCGTACTTCTCGCGCAGATAATTTTCCCGCAATGTTTTCCGACGTTGTTCTCGATTTTCGGAGGCTCCCGCTCCAGCAGCATTATGACCCGATATAGCCGCGGCAGATTCATTTGAAAGTTGTCTTTCCGGTGTGACTTTTTGGCTCATTTGTTCGGCATGCTGTACCGATTGTAGAACAGCAGCTAGAATATTTTCATCCTGTAGGGAATTTTGTGCCGCTGCTGCCACAAAAGCTTTGTAATTTTTCGATTGTTGGGCCAATGAACTAGAAGGCATACGTGCCTTCCATGCCTCAAACGAATGTTGCGGATCATTTTGCAACCACTTTTGGAAATCAACACTAAGACCTTCAACACAATTGATTGAGGACAGAGTGGAGGGGCTTAAATCGCGATTCAACTTAGTTGAGGGTATTGTCGGTGATATCAATTTAAGCATTATGTGTAGACATGGTTGTATTACCGAATAAACGGGACCCCGGGGACAACGACATGTGTGCAGGAAGAGTTCAAATACAATTTTCAGTTTTTGTTCCCAGCAAAAATCATCTTGGGATATTAGAACTCTGAGCAATTCCATTTCATGGTATATTGCCGAATCAATATTGGTTAAGGGTATGGAACCCAATAAGGCCGATTTTACACGATCACTAATCAATTCCAATAAATTCATACAAGCATCCTTGTTGTTCTTGGTGAGCAATACTAATAAGTTGCGTACTTCGTCTTGTATCTGGGCTGTGCCACGACGTAAATTATGCTGGGCCAATTCTTCAACCAAGCCCTGACTGTAGAGTACCAATCGACATTCATAATTGGAGGCCATGGCTCGGAGTAATGTCAAACATTGCTCAGTGGAGGCCAAGGCACATCCGTAACATTTGTTAATATTGAAATTGTCACGTTTATCCGGTGTATGCGGCAGACTGCTCTGGTCCATTTGACTGCGATCGTAGGCCACCAATTCACTGCGGCAAGCCTTTACCTTTTGCACGATTTTCGAAAGCTCTTCAAAGGAGGAGCGCGATTCTACACAATACTTCTGGGCCAAGAATTGTATAATCTTATTCACCTGCGAATTGCTGTGTATGGTACCCAAACTTTCATCCATCAACCGGTCGGAGGAACCATGCTCGGCATATTTTTGCAATAGCAATTCTAACATTTGCTTATTAGCCAATAGTTGGCGATAAATACGATCTGCTCGTTCCAATGATGAATGTATAATGTGTACAGTTTTTGCACGATCCTCGGCGGATTCGATGGGATCCACAGCACAGCATATACGACCATATATACTAAAGTCGAATTTAGCATATTTACAGAAACCGCATGAATGACACAAGAACGGATCCTTTTCGTCGTAGTTAATGGCCCGACATTTATGACATTGGAATACATTTTCACCACAGTTGCCACAGACACCGGGGTATGAGGGCACGGCGGCACTACATCGGGGGCATTGGAGATTTTCCGACGACCCAGTAACAGTTTCATAGAAATCAGCATATTCAATCATCAAATTACAAGCAGTAATCGGTAGAGGGAAATCCACTTTGACCTCAGTCTGTCCCGATTGCAATGTAACAGTCCGTGCCTTATGCCACATGGCTGGCTTATTCTTCAGTTCCACAACGGCCTGAACGGTGCGATTGTTGTAGTATATATTTATGGTCCTTACCATTTTGGTGCGTTTCAAATCGGCAATACGCACAATGAGCTTTGATATGGTGTGACATTGCACCAACTTCACAATCATGGTACAGGTGGTAAATTTGGAATCCGATTTAATTGATGGCAGTTTAATGTTGGCCATGGGCACCTCGGGATTGTTGCAAACCAAACATGGTTCTGATTCCAAATAGTATCCATTCATTTGTAAAATTTGTTCCAATGATGTGTATATCGAAGCATTCGGATGTTTGGATAACAAATCATTTTGTTGCCGCAAAACTTCCACCGCCTTTTCGGTAAATTCTGGTAAACGTTCCGTAATTGTTTTTGTGCTCAATGTCAAATAACCCAAGATATCAACAAACTGGGCGGTGCGACGTCCGAATTGTGGTACCAAAGGCCACATATTCCACAAGATGTTAATCAACTTTTCTTTCTGGCGTTCATTGGCATAATCATAAATGGCATACACCAAGGAGTGGGCCTGCCATCTAATCGATGTAATATTGGTTTCCAACAAGAAAATCCTCACAAATTTGTTAAGCAAAGAGTCCGAGACGAAACGGAATATTTGATGAACAAATGTCGAGCAATGTGTACTATCGAATTTCGAATCGAAGGTCATCTCAATTTCTTCCGATTTATCACGATCGCCACGCATTTTCGAACTACCAACACTAGACGATGTGCTGCCATTTTCTGATTGTTGTTGTTGCTTTACAGCTTGTATATTGTTGCAGAGTGCAGCTTGCAATAGTTGTAATATAATCGGCGATACACCATCATCCAATTGATAACAGGCAATTTCAATTAGGACGGGTATAACATCTTCATGGATTAGACAGAATTTTTGCCAATTGCCGGTGCGTATTTGTGAAATTTCTTGGCATGTTCTCAAATGTTCGGTGAGTTCAACCAATGAATCATAGCTTAGTATTGGAATTGTTTGATTTGTCAGGACCATATTCTGGAAAAGAAGAAGAAAGGTAATTTAAATGCGAATTTGAATACAACAAAGAACTTCTTATAAGGTAAGGTAAATATATATAAATCAACAACAAGGAAAAGGCGGAAGTTCCACCCACTTTGGGGACATGCAAGATAAATATACTGACTGAACTCACCTTTGTATTATAGAGATTACACAAATCCTTTACATAATTAAAGTGAACATCCAATGAATGACCGTCGCGGAACATTCTAAATTTCTCCTTATTACCGCAAATGTACATCAACAACTTCCGAACTTGACGTCTCAGCAGAGCATTCAAATTCAACATCATGTATTCACACAAGGTATATGTCATATTTTCACAATAGCTGTGGTACCAATCATATGTGCCCGGGTGTGTAGCCGACAGACGTAATATTTGATAGGGCAATCGCACTGACATTTCAGTAAGTAATGCATCGTACGATTCAAATATATCGGGATAATTTTTCAAATAATTGTGTGGTATTAGTGTTGACAAATCCGGTTTGGGGCCATAACGTACTGGCTTCAATAGACTATTTTGGGTTGGTGTAACCGCAGAACCACTAACAACAGGTGTGCTAACACTATTACTGGGACCAGTGGCAATCGCACTAACAATACCACTGGCAGCGGCGGCGGCTGCTGTTGCCTGATTCTGTTCGCTGGAAACCCTCTTCCAGTGTTGTAAGAGAGATTCCATGACCACCAAACAGAATGTAAAGGCTCCGTTATTGCTTAAAATGCTAGCTGTGGTACTGGCCACAAATGAGGCATTATCTTTGAATTGGTGAGGCGGCGAAGTCGTACCGGCCTGTTTGGATTTCGTTTTACCCATAAGCACACCGAACAGTGATAGCAAGGCCAAACGTACCTCATTCTTAAGGTTCTTATCTTTCATCTGGAATACAAAAAGGTAAAATTGTTTATGTATACAATTCTAAACTCATTCTCTTTGGATCTTACCTTAGAAGCATTTGATATGGAATCCATTTCAACATATTCGACAAGAGCGGTGAGTAAGTCATTTAAGATTTTCTGGTCACGTTCATTGTTACCGTTCAAATCAGTGGTAAGCATAAGTATGACTTGAATCAATGGTATGGCCTGTAGACCATTACAATCGTCCAGGGTCTTGATATTGGCAATGATGCTACCCAAAATTGCAATTCTGAAAACAAAACACATTGTTGTTAAATCCGTACAAAAAAAGGCTGAATTAAACCTACCTTAAATCATGTAACTTGGCCAATTTTTCATCTTCAGTAGCATCGTTATCTTCGGTATCATTACTCTGACTAGCCTCCAGAACTGACCGGCTTGTTGTTGGTAATTCTGAGGGTGTAACACTGATTAGGGCACTGGCTCCTGCAGCTGTTCCCGCAGCTACTGCTGCTGTTGCTTTTGCAGAACTACTACTGGCATTAGCCACCATGCTACCACCACTGGCACGTGGCGGCGAAGCTGTGGCACCACCACCATCACCTTCATACGTACTGCTACGACCAGAGGTGCCACCAATCGATTCAACACCACTGCCGCCACTTTCTGAGCCTCCACTGCCCACTGGTTCAGCGGGTGAGGTGCGTAGAGTGGAACCATCTGTAGCCACATTGGAGCCTTCATCGTCGGAGCCAGCAGCTGAGGAAACAGCAGCACCACCGCTTCCACCAGTGCCACCTGCAGCCACGGCTTGTAACTGTTGCTGAGCATGTTGTAATTGTGCGGCAGCATTACGCATACCTTGTAAATTTGAAAGTCCTTGCTGTAGATGTTGTAATGCCGGCTCGGCACCACTGCCGTCATGCTGCTGTAAGCTTAATGCAATGGCAATATCCATTATAGCTTCATCATCGGCATCTTGTTGAAGTCCCAAGAGCTGTGGGAAGCCACTACCCATAAATGCTTCTAAAGGATCTACCAAAGCAGTGGGGTCATTGGCGACTGCAGCGGGAACGGCAACGTATTCTGCACTACCACTTCGTTGCACCGAAGAAGGTGGCGATGAAGATCCTCCACCACCACCAACCGCTGCAACTACCGGATTAACAATGTTGGCAGCCTCATCCAAGGTGTCATCTTCATTAGAAATACCAACGGCACCACCAACCACTGCTGTGGCATTCACCATAGACGTAGTTGTTGACAATGCTGGCGGTGTGGGGGTGGAGCACAACGTTGGTGTAATAATTGCCACCTTTCGGCGCTTCGAGCGAGGACTAAGCAACAATATTATAGCCTCCTTGGCGCTATGAGATATAACACTCGATTCATTTTTCAATAATTTGATAAACATCAAGGTGACTCTTTCAACTTGGCTAATATCGGCCAATGCAAATGCATGCATTATCTCAACGAGACAGTGGACTATAGTCTCGGTATGTGATAGACCTTGACGTACAATTGATGTTGGCTCATCAATGGCTGGGGTGATTTCATATAGCTTTTCCACGAATTCCATTAAATCCGAAACTATTTCGAATTTATTATCCAAACAGATTTTCGTTAAAGTCATTGGGCGTGTTGTGGCAATTCCGCGTACCATGAGTACCAAACGATAGAAGGCTTCAGGATCAACATCTCTCAAGGTTTCGCGGCTGGTTAATTTCGATTTCAGAACCTAAGGGAATACAAAAAACATATGTTATAGGCCGAATTAAAATTGTTGTTATCCCACCTACCTTTAGTTCATCATTGACATAGACCAGCATTTCATAGTCCTTGTAATTGTGATAGGCCTGACGATTACCGAAGAGAGTGGCCAAAACGTATCTTGATTGTACCTGCACCTGATTGGCCGTGGGTAGCAACAGCAAAGATGTTGCCGTATTTGTGGCCTTTTGCCTTATGGTACCGGTCAATGCATTTGTGCCCAATAGACTAATCGAACAATCGAGTACCTCCAAGAGCATTGTAACCATTCTATCAAGTTGGGTAATCGAGTTATAACCTTCGTAGCATGTACTTGATGAACCCATAACGCCATATGATGTAGATGTACCCGAACCACTTCCAGCAGCATTTGCCGAAGATGATGGTCCACCACCAGCAATTTCATCGGTATCGTCGGGCCAACCCACCAAGTCCTTCGATTTACCATATACCTCTATGGAATCCAACATACAGACATTATCGGGATCTCGTGATTTACCAAATACCACCTTAAGGCATTTGTCACATTGCAGCATTTCCTCGCGAGTCAGCGGTATATCAAACCAACGGGCGCGTCGAACGGGTGTCGGTATGGTTCTACCCAGTATTGTAACACTTTGTGGTGCACGATGTGGATCTTGTGTGCCCAAGAGCACACGTATGCCCACAATTACCATATTATTCGGATCATTATTATATATTTCCAATGTAAAGCCGGTAGCCTTTGTAGAGGCAACATACATTCCCGTCGAGAAGAGGCGTATTTTCAGTTTCTGTTTATTGTAGATTTGCAGCAAGTCATTTCCGCCGAAATCGACATCTGGCAACATGGTGCAGTGTTCAAAGAAGTCAATGGGGAATATCGGATTACCATTTGGACCTGTGGTCTTCTGTTGATGACTTGATTTACGTTTGGATTTTTTGCTTGCCCCATTGGAACAGGCGGACTTGTTACTCAAATTTGTGGTATACAATTGATTCGATAATGGTTGAACCTGGGGTGACAGCCAGAATGATGTTGTCTCTTGATTAGCTGTGAAGATGCGCAAGCTTCCATCTTCACAAAGTAGAATGAGCGTAGTCTTCTCCACACCAGCCACTGTGTGGCGTATGGCAACCATATCCATAATACGCGATTTGGGCGATTGTGCTTTGATTTCCTGCATCAGAATACGTTCAGGTGTGAACATGAAGATGACAGGATTATTCGATGTGTGCATCATGGCACAGATGAGACCTGGGTGTCCGGGTATTTCTGTCCACTGACATAGAGGCTGTGGTGGACCCTTGGATGAATTCTTCGACGAACCAGGTGATATTTGCAGATGGGTTATGCATTTCACTCCCTTGTTGACATCTGTTAGGGGAGCAACAAAACTTTTACCCACCGAATAACTGAAGAACAACAATTGCAGGGTGTGTGAATAGTAAATGGATACGCCACCACCTCCTTCTTGGCCATTGACATCTTTAATTTGGGTGTGGTTCAATTCCAATGTGTTGGTTACATAGAAATCGCCATGTTTGGCCAATGACTGATCATCAAGCTTTTGATAGTATATATAACCGGATGAGGCTATTATCAGCATATAGTAGACACCATCCTGGTAGACAAAACAACAATCACGAATCTTGCCAACAGCTACTAGGAAGTAGTACTTGGGGCTATAGGTATCTTCCGAAAGTTCATATATTTTCACATAATCGGCTGTAACCAAAGCCAACATTGTTTGTGATCCTGGCAACCACAGGGCTTTCTTAATAAAGTTTCCATTTTCCAGTTGTGGCGTCAGGACAATGTGTTCACTGGTGGCTCCAGTATTTGTAAAGGTCAGAATGTGGCATTCCTTTAAACCACACACCGCCAAACAGTCTTCATTTGCTGGATTGGCGGTCAATGAGAGCACAGTACACGGTATGGGTGCTGAGGAAAGTTGTGTCAGTGTCAATTTTCGTTTGGCAGCATCTTGTTTCAACAAAGCGGACAGCTGTAGAATTGTTACTTTGCCTTTTTCATGTGACACAGCCAGATGTTGACGTTTTCCGTGGGGCGAAGAGAGACAGCATAGGGCCACTCGCCGCACCAAACCCGACGACAACAACTGTTTAATGGTCTGGCCTTGATCGCCCGAATAACTCATACGTACATTCTCAAAGGCTCCCTCTTGAGAGCCCAATGTTGGCAACATCAATTGATCGGTATGTTGGAATGTCTGCTCGCCGTGCAAACGTAAAAGAGCAGCCTTCGCTCTGCGATGACATCCCACAATCGAGAAGAGATCACAGTTCTCTTTGATAGCTGGCATTATCACATCAAAGAATTCCAAAATACATTTGACAATAGTGGTCCATTGTTCGGTGTTTTGTAAGGCTTCTTTGGAACCCTCCAACAACTTGGAGAGCAAAGATATGCGTTCATTTGTCGCAGAGGAGGACATTAGGAAATTATTGGTTGTCATTTGCAAAGCTGAATTGGAATTTTGTTGTTGTTGCTGTTGGTGATGTTGTTGTTGCTGACTTAAACAGCTTTGTGAGGGTGGTGTTTGTGCACGTTTCGACTGGGACAGAACGCCACTTGTTCCACTGCTATTACTACTGGAATAAATTTCGGACGATGTATAGTCATTTTGTTGTCCACGACTTTCCCCAGTCGTTGTACCGCTGGATACACGCCTTCTCAGTGCCTGACAAGAACCATCCTCTTTGGCACCACAGTCACAAAAGAAATTTCCATATTTAGCATAACTAACGTCATGTCCTTTGTGACAAACTCTGGCACATACCGAACAAACACCGACCGTATTGACCATATTGCAAGTGTGGCAATGATACCAATGTTGATTCATAAATTCCTTTTGCGTCAATGAGAATGTACACAGTTTGTTGTTTAGGCTATCCTCATCGGAATCTTCTACAAAGGAGTCATCATCGCCTTGCTGGTCGTTGGCAAGATCATCCATTAAGTCTTCCAAATCAGTCTGGATATCATCGTCCCAGGCAGGTTGTTGTTGATGTTTGCTGCCGCGATGTCCCAAACTTTGCAACAGCTCATGTAAGTATTTTAGCAGGGCATTGACATTCTCCAAAATGTTGGAGGACATAATAAGAGAATTGTGTGTATTTTGGGTCTTTTCCATGATTTGAAATTTTGTGATTTCCAACCACATTATTGTGGCATTGAAGAGTGTTGAATGTCCCTTTCCTTGGGCACAGTCGGCCAAACAAATCATTATCTGTAGAATATCGGAGAAGTCATTGGCCTCATGTGAAGAGGGGGAAATCAACGTTTGTCCCAATTGCAGTAGAGATTGGAATAACAGCATGGCAACGGCATTGTTGTTGGTTGCTAATGCCTTGCCACTGTCGTGCACAATATGTTTGATGACACTTAGTAGCAGAGCACCATTCCTTTCGGTTTGTTGCTGGTTCTGCAATTGTTCATCCTGTGTAGTAGACAACGGTTCCGATTGATTGGTGGCCAAGAAACTGCTATTGCCAGCCGTTGTTGGTTGCTGAGGCCAAATGCTTAGTGATTGTGCTGCTGCCGAACTATTTTGTTGTGTAGTTGCAGCCACAGCAGCTGACGGTTGATTAGTGGCATTGTCTTCATCTATAGCCTCGGCATTATCCAGTGTTGAGGACTGATTACCAAATTGTTCGGACAACGAGGCTATCGCAGAAATTGTAGCCATATTTGTGGGTGTCTGGGCATTACTCGATGAAGTACTAGAGGTAGTGGCTGGCACCCCCGTAGCCGAAGATTGCTTCTCCACGGGAGTTTCTGTCTGTTGTGAGAGTACACTTTGTGGCCCATAAATCACATGCGTTAGCCAGCATTTGATACGTTGCTGTTCGACATTAGCCAATTCTCCGAAACAATTTCTCAACTCTTCCAGAGGGAAAGCCGAATCGGGTTGTTGGGAAATTTGGAATAGTTTTTCAACAAATTCCAATAGTTTGCGGGCATAGGACATTGATAGATTGGTACCAGTGAAGGACAACAACAAATCAACCAAGCTGGGCTTATTTGTCGTCGTCGCCGACGAGGGGGTGGTGTTTGACACATCATTGTTTTTCTGCGTAAAGAATTGGTGTATGGCCTTAATACCCATGGGTTTCTCTAACATTGCTGACATTGACTTAACAACAGCAAATAACAGAGACTCATCAAAAATTAAACTTTGCTGAACTGAAGGTGGGAAATTCTTGGCTTCCTCGGCATATTCCATTAGGAATCGATAATGGTATTTTAGTATATAATTGTAGGACATGAATTGTTGTTGTTCCGAAGCCTGTTCTACACCTTGCATTAATGTTAGCAGACACTTCTCAGCAATATCAAAAACATATTCCATTCGGGCATCCATCATCGTCTCTATGAGCATCGGTTTCAATTGCTCTTCGATTAGTGATTTGCATGCACTGTCGTGTTGCCATTGTTGTTGTGATGATGTCAACAATAGATTCATTAAACTGAAGAGGCTCTTTAGACAATGTTTAAAGGAATTCAATGTCGAGTAGTAGTTTTCCCTTGTCAATTCGGTAATGTGGGCTTCAATTACGGTAAGTGTATACAATTCAGCTGGATATTGCTGTGTTTGCTGGCCATTGTTGGATTTATTGAAAATGGCATCAGAAACTGGCAGTGATTCACACCAATCTCCCGTTATAACTTCCTTATTTTTATTATCCAACAATTTCAAAAATTGTGAGCACAAATCGGTGCAATAGGAGTTATTTGAATTTACAATGGCCAGAATGCATTCTAAAATATTGTCTGGTGTTACATTGGCCAATGGTAATATTTGCACCATTTTGTGACGCACCGTATCCCGTAAAACGTTGTAGGTATTGACCAACATTTGAAGTAATTCCTTAGTGGATTGATGACGTTCTTGCAGTACAATTGTATTGCCGGATTCGACTTCGCCCTTTTGATCATTGCCATCAAATTGTGTCGAAGCATATGATGAATCATCGGCAGCACTTGCACCAGCCGATATTGGTGAGGAGCCAGTTGTTGGACTCTGAACAGCTGTATTACTATTTGACGAAGAAGATCGTTGCGGTTTAATGCCCTCCTTTTCGGCCCATGCAACCGCTTGCATATGTGACAACAAAGCATCCAATAATATTATATATGAGAGTGGAGGATTGGCTAAAAATAGAAATATATGTTAATGTCACTTTTCAAGAGAAATTTTAAAAATATGCAGTCGTTTCCAGTGATCTTCGTTCATTCTTTACGAATGTAAAAACCACACATATAAACTTTAGGAATATTTCCTCAATTAGAAACTTACCTTTGTTAATGTGTTCATTACATGATTCAATACCCAATAGGGTTTGTTTCAAACTAAAACGTACATCACTGACACGATCTGTTATTGTATTCCACAGAGTTTCAGCAAATTGTGTATACATGCCCTGTTTAATGAGGCTGTTCACAATCAAATAATGTGAAGTTGGACAGCGAATGGACCACAATAATGAATGCAAATTGGGCTTCTTATCAACCTGCAATTGTTCGACATGTGTTGTTGAGGGTGGTAGACCCAATAATAATTTCCAGCAAATACTAAAGCAATATCGTATAGCACACAACGTGTGAGTACTATCTCGTGAATGCCATGATAGTGTCATATCCGTTATGCCTAAAATATCTATTAGGGCATCAACCAGCAGGGGATATTTTAATTTATCCGGGGTACACAATATGAAATTCCATGCCAGACCATCTAATTTAAATTCTTGATTAGTGGGCGAGGAATCTCCAACCAGAGTTAGAGAATAAAATGTTGGGCGAATATCTAAAAAAAAAAAAACACACACACACACAAATTATCTAAATATATTTTTAAGTTGCTAAAAACTATTGTTCACACTTACTTGACATACAATCCGCAGCACTTCTTCGGAACTCATCTTCAATGTCTTTGCGTACAAATGAAGTCAATTTAGTTTTGTTATTCAACAAATCGGCAATTTTTTGATTTTCATGCATGGTACTAATGCTGAAGAGATTCCAACGAACCGAGTCCAATAGTTCTGGTGGAGCATTGTACAAATGTTTCATCAAATATTCCAAGAAAAGCAAAAGACGCGATAATAAAATAATTTGACTATTCCGTATGGGTTTATCGCTAGATATATCGCGGCAAACTTCGGCACAGCGTATTACACCACCAGCGGTTAGAAGTAATATCGACTTCTTTTGCATTAAATTCAATGAGTGGAAAAGGAACAACAACAATTGAGCATGTTCCATATTTAAATCTTCATAGTCAACATTTGTGGGTGGATTTGTTGAAGACGATCCACATACACCTTCGACGAGGGTATTAATTAGACGATGCCAAACCGAAAGACAAGCCGCCTCCTTTTCTTGTGTGGGTTTTAGTAATAAAATTTGCACCAATACCGACAGAGTACTTGGATACACCTGCAATGGCCAGGTATTGGTCTCACTGGACCACGGCGATACTCCGAGATGTTGTAAAAGATTCGATTGAAGTGATTCACTCAACAGAGAGGCTGATACTAAATTATGTAGGTAACGGCCAACTGCTCCCGAAAATCGTATCATTGCCGATTGCCATTTGTTGCATTGATTGCTTTCATTTTCATTCCCTCGGGCCGAATCCCGATCTAGATCTTTTAATATGTTAGCCATTAACAGCATTTGTTGATCAGATAACCCAGCCTTGACATATCTCTGCAGATAACTATGTCTTTGTGAGAAAAATTGATCCATAAAACAGAAAATTTGGGCAGCCAAGTCCAAATATTCATGGGGTTCATCCAGGGCTGGTACCATGTTTGATTTTTGTCCTTCATTGTTCTTATCCATGTTGTCAACCGATTGATTTTCGTTTTCCGATTCCGGTTGTAGGGTTTCCTTAAACCAATGACCTAGATAACTTTCACTATCATCCTCTTCGGAATTGTCCGAACATGAAAGAGTGTCATTGAAGTAGGTGGTTGAATCCGAATAGCTTATTGGTTCACATTCGGTGCGATCTTTAGTATTTGCACGTTTCAAATTGCAAGCCTTTCGATAGGTCACGGTGGCCAAGAAGGTGAAGAGTTGATGTAACGTGGCCGTGTTAAGAACACGCATGACCCGTTGCAATGTCGTATAGTTTTCTAAGACATCAAAGTTGGCGGGTTCTGGTAATGTGGTGCTGGTAGTTGTGGAAGCACCCTGACCTTGCTGAATGTCCATTGATGAAGTTGTTTCAATTTTCAAATCATCTATGAGTTCTGTTAAAAGTTTTATGCAGTGATTGGCAATGGCTGCATTCAAAACACCAAAACCTTGTTGAACTTTAAATAGGTTTACACGTGCCGATGCTGTTGGCTGAACACTTTCGCCAGATTTACTCTTAGCTTGTTTGGCCATATCATCTTTACTCATACTTGTACTGGTACTTCCAGAAGCTCCCAAAGCTCCTTGTATACCACTTACTAAAAGCCAAGCTCCGAAACACAAATGATTTTGATAGATATGTGAGCGTGCTGAATCTTTAAACATTTGACCAATTGTAGTATATATTTCTAATGCTTTATCGACAACGGTGCGCGCATTCTCCTCATTGTCATCGGCATCTTTGCCGGATGATTGTGTTGACAGGGATGCCGTTGAACCACCAGATGTTGTTGATTTTTGGGTACTTGCTGTGGAGGACATATTCAAAACACTGCTAGCAATTGAGGCTAAAACAGCACAATACAATGCTGAAATGGCGCATTTCGATAGTTTGGCAATGCGACTTGGTGTCAACGGTTGTAGAATTGGTAAAGTCAAGGCTTGTGATAATATGGATATATCGGTGACCATATGGGTTAAAGTGTTACGTATCTGTGTGGCTTCTACTTGTGTCAAAGGCAAATACAATGGTTTGCCAGCCAAGTTAGCAATGGTCTCTTGATATTTGAGACGATAACGTGTCAAAATTGGTAATGATGAGCAAACATCTAATATTATATCAGCTCCATTTAATGATTGTAGGTATGCGGCATTTGAAGCGAATACCTCCTGAAAAAAAAAAAAACAAAAATATATATTAGTACTGATAAATTTAGAAATACAGTTAAATTTAATACTTACCGAACAATCAGTTAGTTCTTCGCTCAAAGGAGCCCATGTCATTTTACCAGCTTCCAATGGTGCTGTTAGCTGATGTATAATGATTGAAGACAAATCTGATCGAGATCTTTTAATTTCTGATTTGGGTGAATCTTTTTCCCCAGCATTACTGCCACCACCTGTTGAACTACTTGTAGAGACAATACTTTTTGTATTTTCAGGATATTTGCTGCTCTTCAGCACAGCCGCAACAGCATTATAATCGAATTGTAAGACATTTCCACTGCCACCACCACCCGCAGTGGCGCTGGCATTTGAGGAGCTAGCATTATTACTGCCAGCAGTTCCGTTTCCTGCACCGCTTGCTCCTCCACCAGCCGTCGATGTTGTCGATTTGCTTTGTGAGGATGTTGTCGGTTTGCCTTCGCAAAGACTTTTCAATGCCGGCAATAGCCATTTTATTTCATAGACACTGACCTTACCCAAACGCAGTAAAATGAATCGAATGAGAATGGCACAGGCCTCATGAATTTGTGTTTGTGAAACTGTTCAAAAATAAAAGTTTGGTAAATATAATGGATATATTTCATATTGTGAACACATAATCGTATCGTACTTTATTGCAATGAACATATTTTGGTAATTATTTTGGATAGTTAAATTTAAAAGATACCGATGGAAATCAATCCATCCTCTAAATGCGACGGAAATTGGCGCAATTCATTAGATTGAATAAAATACACACACTACTGAAATTTGTACGTCCTAAGGGCCTGATTGTATAAATATGGTTAAAGTCCTGAATAAAAAATATAACTATTGGTAGGAGAAATCCATACTGCTTAGATATGGGCCTCCAAAATTCCACACTGACATATACTTTCTCCTATGAATAAATGCGAAAGAATCGCCTTTAATCACAATAGTTTTAGTACATTGGATCTATAATGTTTTGCTATATCAGATGCTAAAATGGAATACACACCAGAATTTTCAATTTAATAGTTTTTCTATTCTACATTCACAACTGCAGATCATGATCAATCAGAACATTCATCAAATTTTGCAGGTGATTTAGTCAGTACGAGTCATAAAATCTGAGGACTGGTAAAACCCAAACCAATACCAATATTTAATTCTCCACACTGGTTATCCTAATTTACTCCTTTTACCCATTTTACTTAGGGTAATTTTATAGCTTATTGTTCGGAGACTGGAGGGAAATACCAACTGGATCTAAAAAGCTGTGTATTAATGCAATTACATTATGGGAATCGGACTTCTACGAATAAAATACGTTATTACGTTTTCACGCAAATGTCATCTTGTCTGTTCATGTAAGGAAGTTTAACGGTGCCGTGTTATTTTTCATGATTCGACCTGCAAACGATTTCTGTACAATATAGCGATACGAAATTCTCATTAATTTTCTATCAAATAACGGTGCATCATCATTGCCAAAGACACCCTGTGTGTGCGTGTGTGTGAGTTGAGACTTTTCAATGCACACACACGTACACACACTATTGCATATACACAATTTTTTCTTTTCACTTGCAGCCTTACTTACCATATTTGCACTGACTCAATTTATCGGCAGCTAGAGCAGCAAAAGCCGTATAAAATTGCAAATAATTGCTATCCTCATCGAAAAATTCATTTTCACTGCAAAAGAAAAACACAAAAATGCCGTTAAATTACAAAAAAATAATTTCGCAATCGTAATTTGCAATTTCACACGAAGAGAAAATTTTCTTTGTTCTGTCGCCGCATACACACACACGCACAAATTTTCAGTAAATTTATTTTGCGTTTTTCTCTGCCTATAGATGAGATTTTGAAAAAATTCATTTTTACATACCTTCGCGTAATGGCCTTAATTATATTAAGGATTTCATTTTTATTAGTTAATGCGTAACGATTGTTTAAAAGAGGTTTTACTACGGAGCTCCAATCGGCCCCACCACTATGAGCAGACATTTTACGAATTATGCCGTAGACGATGATTGAACCGACCGAAATCAAAACCGTTCCACCTGCTACGAATAGGAGAGCAATGCGGGAATACCTAATTAAAGAGGAACTCAAAGCGAAATGGCCGAGAACGACCATGATTGCGAATATGGTGTGATGAAGACACGGACGAAGATGAACTATTTGTTTAGAAGGAGAAATTGACAGACGAAGCGTTAAGGAAATGAACGATTGGAACAATCTTCAGGTCATTTGTGTATCAAGTAACTTTAGTTCAACTAGGATTTTCAATAGAAAACGGGATGTATTGGTTCACATTTTAGTAGAGACCTATCATCCAATTATTATTATCCAATAATAAGGTCGTCCGGTAAGGCCAAATGATTTCACCCGTGCTGTCAAAATGCTTTCAATTTCGACATAATTGTGTGAAAACGTAAACAATAAATTTGACAGCTTGGGGGATTTTAATCCAAAATTGTCGACAACGATTGCTTAACGACCTATTTATTGGATCATGTTTAGTATTTTTAATGTTTTAGTCACATTTTCTACGGGATTTTTCATCTAAATAAATACATCTTAAAGAGGGAAACACATACGAGTATTCAGCCCTGGCATGTTAAGTTGGCTTTGTATGAAATGTCAATTTATAATGGAATATCCGAGTGAAACTAGAATATGGACGTCGTTCTATTTTATTCATTTACAGTAAAAGAATCCAACTTAACATACCATGCCTGTATTCCTCTTATGTATTCTCCCTTTAAAATATAGGCCTCCAAAATTCCGCTTTGAACATTTTCCCTTGCCTTTTTAAAATTTACTTAGGCAATGTGGTTATTAATTTGAAGCGGTTAAAATCCTAATAACAAAAATGCAATTATTTTGAAGTCGAACTTCACCACAATTCCACTTGAGCTGATCCCATGGGCAGAGCAAAATTGGCTACGCGACAGAATCCCATCCTAAATTGAATAATTTTTGTGATTGGTCGGCCATCAAATGGGCCTTTAATGCTTCTCTCAACAGAAAGATGGCAACAACGGCTACACGACAGAATTTAATTTTAAATATAATAGTTGTTTGTGGCATTCGGCCGGGTATTAAAGGCCTTCTCCTACGGACAGATGAAAAACCGACACGAGTACAGAATACCCTAGAAAATACAATAAGTGCGTAAGTGAATTTAAAAGATTGGGAAATTTAGGGTTTCTCCACGAATTTTGGAGGCCTATTTTTCAGAAATATAGATTACTACAAGAAAAAAAGTGACATGTGATAAAATAAACAGATGGTCCGAAACACACATGGTAAAGACCGGTGGGCCACAATTTCATTATTGGTCTGTTCCAGAACCTGCAAGAATGTGCTATTTTTTACTACGATAACAATTTTTTCTTTATAATATCGGAAAAATAGTAAAATTTAGTCGATTCTTGCAGTACGGGAATAGACCATATATAAACACTGCCATAGTAATTTAAGACGTTTTTTAAAAAGGTCCTCCTCTTATACGATTGCCATATGATTGCTACCACACGATACGTGTTTGACTAATTTTATGCAAACATTTTTGACGTGTTGCACCCGCATTCACCTTTGATTGAAGTAAACACACGTTCATGTGTAATGTTTTATGTTTTATTTTTGCTAAATAAATAAAGGACAACTTTCTCACAAAAAATGAAATAAACAATTATTAAGAAAAGAATTTTTCAAACAATAAAGTACTAAAGGAAGTGCAATGGAATCGAGTACAGAATCACTTCAACAATTGCAACAGCAACAACATGTGGCAGCTAAGGTATGCATTCCATTTCACTTATTTCACTCGAAGATTTTTATATATTGTCTTCCTCTCTTATAGAACAATCCACATGCAAGTCTTCAGCCACAACAACCAGCATCTGCACCCATTGAAACCAATGAAGCTCAACATGACGTGAAATTACAGTAAGAAAAGCTCTCCTCCGATATTCATTTGGACCATCTCTAATATTATGTTGTTATCTTCTAGGAATGTGGTCGCGACTGTCTCATTAGCATGTGAACTAAATCTCCAGGACATTAATAATCGTACAAGAAATTCCGAATACACGCCATCACGATTTCATGGAGTAGTAATGCGTATGCGTGATCCTCGCTGTACAGCTTTAATATTTCGTACCGGGAAAATAATCTGTACAGGAGCACGCAATGAGGCTGAAGCTTCGTTGGGTACACGTAAATTTGCTCGAATCATTCAAAAGCTCGGTTACCCGGTAAAATTTACCGATTTTCGTTTACAAAATATTGTCGCTACCGTGGATTTACGATTTCCCATACGTTTAGAGAATCTTAATCAAATTCATGGTCAATTTAGTTCATATGAGCCGGAACTATTTCCGGGACTTATTTATAGAATGGTAAAACCGCGTATGGTATTATTGATATTTGTTAATGGTAAAATTGTTTTTACCGGTGCTAAGGCTCGCAAGGATATTTTGGAATGTTTAGATGCAATATATCCGATTCTATTGAGTTTTCGTAAAAATTAGGATGCCAGAAAAGTAATTTTTTAAGTTGTTCTTAATATTTCTAGGATAATTTATTAATGCAAGTTTTTTTAAAAAGTTTGTACTGTATAATTTTTAATAAACATTGCGTCGTTTTTTTTTACCGAAATTATACTTCCATAAAACCGAGTTTAGAACAATTTTCATCTGCAAAAAAATTCAAGTGGAAGAAAATATCACACAGTTTTCTGTCATATTAAGGGATTGTGTAAAGTGGAAAAAATCACATCTCACATTTGTTTAAACTATGGTTCTTTTTATGTTAATATTTTGAGATAAGTTCTATTTTGATATGATTATGGAAATTAATTTATAATATATAAATATCTAAAAACAAAACTATTGTAATTGCAAGTGAAAGGCCAGTTTGTACATAAGAAAATCTATATATTATTAAGATGCTAAATACATATTAATTAATCTTTTTATTTTTTGATTCTAATTTCGTTTTAATTTCGAATCGCTATGAGAGTGCAATGAAATAAGAAAATTAAGGTATTGGACGGATGTTCCATAGCTTCTAACCCGAAAATAAAAACTGCATATATTTATATTTATTCTAATAAATAATAATATACATATAAATGTCTGTACACGTACTGCAAGAATTTACTACATTTTACTATTTTCCCTGATATCATAAAATAAAATTCGTTATCGTAGTAAAAAGTAGTAGATTCTTGCAGTACGGGAACATACCATATATTTCATAGTGTCTCCGTGATAAGTCAAGTTTAAGAAATTTGTACCACATATAGCCCTAAACACCTTAATTTCACCGATACAACTGTTTGTGTATAACCGTTGGACTTTCTTCTTGTGGCAATCCATACGTCCTGAGCTATGTGCTTCCAAAATTCTACTGGAACCCTTATAGAGGCTTTCTCCTATGGTTATATTCCAAAATTTGCTTCTCGACAGAATCACATTTTTAATAGAATAGTTTTTGTGTGTGGCCTACATTCTGTTAGGGTTTTAGGACTTTCTCCTTAAGACTCATACCAATATCGCCTTCACGACAAAATTGTATTTTAAATAGTATGGAATTATTCGAATCAGGATATAACCGGATATCCGTACCCGGACTTCCGGGTCAAATAAAAATTCCTACATCTGGAAAAAATCTGGAAAATCAGCTGAATTTTTAACATTTGCCATGTCTCATTCTAAACAATAATTGTGTATGTCGTCATTATGCCTCACACTCATTCGTAAACACATCGGTAAATCAGCAATTTTCCCTGTATGTTCTCTCTTTTCATTAGCCATTCTCTCCTATCTCCCCTATTCGTAGCGTTTAGATTAGGTCGGCCATTATCGTCGACTTGCGGAATCCCTAATCGACAATTTTCCCATGCCCCTGTTTCTCAACAATACGCTTCTTAACCCGTGTCCATTACACCCCATTCGTAAATTTTCCGTTTTACACTTTGAGTTCTTTCTTTATCGGCCATTTTTTCTTCTCCCCCGATTTGTAGCTGTTGGAACGCTTTTGTAATTTTTCTCAGTCTCTGAGAAGGTAGTCATTTGCCAAGAGTGGACAGTGTGCGACAGTTCGACAGTCGAACGTAGCGTTCGACAGACACCAAAAAACAATTTAATTGATTTATAAATAATTTAATAAGAGCAACGGCAATAAGGACGCCATCAAAATGATACCAAAAAAGACGCTCGTAAAGGATGCTCACATTGTGAAAATTGCCGTCGAATTTGAGAATCATATAGCACAATTGATTAATTTGGATCAACGACAACCATTGACGGGTGGGTAAAAGATGAAAAGTTTTTTCTAATGATTTGTTTTTTTATTTTTTTTCGTTGTAGGGGAAAAACAGCTTAGAAATGAATTTCTTGGGAAAATGGATTTTAGAATATGTTAAGAGTTTGTGGAAGATTTTGGTTGGAACGGTAAATTAGAATAAACCAACGCCCTTATTCCGAACCGTCAACTTATTTCATTCGTCCACAAAATGCATACACACGTACGCACATAGCATTTGGCTGCTACTGATGATTAATTAATATTCCGCATACATGACAGGAAAGGAAGCTCGTCGTTGAGTATATTTCCTTTGTGATATTTTGAACATAATTTTGAAAATGATTTTCTTAAAGAGAAGGATTGCATATACCAAAGTACGTTGATGGGCTACAAGAAATTAGTCAAAATAACTTTGGTAAAATTACTTCTTCATACTTGTATGTCCAATAGGAAAGTGGGAAAATCTGATACTTGCAGACAGAGACACTTGGCTCCAATTTAAATTTTATACTGTAATTGTTTAATTGTCCAATTCAAGGAAAAATGTCCAGTCTTTTGCTTTTTGGTTCAAAACGAATACGAAATTGGCTTCAATATGGTATTTAGAGTTTTCATTGAGTTTTCAATATTCGTCAAGTTTTAGGGTAGCCCCCCTTCCCACATTTTTTTCCAACTGTCACTCTTGGATTATTTGTATAGTTCGTGGATATTCTGTCTGTAGTCCATGTAATATGTCCATATAATAGTCTTGATCGATTTTAGGCATTTTGAATGACAGTGAGGAAGGTATTAATAGTTCCATCTGGTCGAACTTAAAACATTTGTACTTGTGTTTTTATACTTAAAAGATGTTATTATAAAATAACACTTTCCTAATAATTCTATTTTTTTAATCTTCTTATAGGTAAAATTCAAGAAATCTGCAATTGCTGGGGTATTGCCGATCCCGAGAATTATGCCCTGCAATTCTGTGAACCCAATCACTTCAAATATGTCACCGAGAAAAATCGCAACGAAATTAAAAATGGTTCCGTACTACGACTACAATATTCACCATCGAAAACTGCCAATGATATTTTAGAAACCCTGAGAGCTGGTTCGCCTTGTGTCAAGGCAGAATGTTTGGAAAAGCTTGCAACCCTATCGGTGGACATTACTTTTGCATTGGAATTTATAAAAGAACAAGGTCTTGGTATTATCATAAATATGATTGAAGATCCTGATGAGAAAGAAGACAAAATTCTTATATACAGCCTGAAAAGCTTTGTTGAACTCATGGAACATGGTACCGTGTCGTGGGAAATTTTACAAAACAGTTTCGTTCAACGCAACATTCACATTGTCCGTAATTTTATGAATTATCCCAAATGCACGGAGAGTGCTTTATCGAATTTAGAAAATATTGTGCAAAATAGTTCAAAACATACGCTGGTGGAGCAGGAGGTTACTCTGCAAGATTTGTTGAAATTGTTGCAGGATGCCAAGTCATCGGTTATTTTACAAAATGCCATTGCCCTGATAAATGCTCTGTTTATGAAGGCCGATGATGGCCGCAAGAGGCAAATAGCTCACACAATCAGTGCAAAACAATTTCGTTTGGCCCTCATAAATAGTTGTGTGGCCAGCACCGAAATGACACATCAGCTGTATGTGTTGCAAACTCTGACATTGGGTTTATTGGAACAGCGTATGCGTATGAAGGTAACAAATCAGGATCAAGATGCCCATGAAAAGATAAAGGAGCTGAGGAAAATTGCATTTGATGACTACTCGGGCATAATGTCTGGCATGGCTGGTAATTCCAACAACTGTTCCGGTTCGGGTAATGTGAATTTTGCCCAATATTATAAAAAACTTGGCTTCAAGTGTGACATGAATCCGGCACAGGATTTTATGGAAACACCACCTGGTATTTTGGCACTAGATTGCATGATTTATTTTGCACGCAATTTCACACAACAGTACACGAAAATTGTTCATGAAAATTCATGTCGGGGTGATGAGCATGAATGCCCATTTGGACGCACCTCTATAGAATTGGTTAAGTTGTTGTGCGACATTTTGCGTATAGGCGAACCACCATCCGATCAGTCTGGAGACTTTCAACCAATGTTCTTTAATCATGACCATCCCTTTGAGGAATTCTTTTGCATCTGTATCATCACATTGAATCGTACGTGGAAGGATATGCGTGCAACAAGTGAAGATTTTCAAAAAGTATTCAGTGTTGTACGTGAACAAATAACACGTACGTTAAAACAGAAGCCAGACAACTTTGAAGATTTTCGTGGAAAAATTGCCACTTTCACGTATCAGACAATAACGAATTTAAGACAACAAGAGCGCACATCGAAAGAGGAATGTGATTCGACGGCCTCGGCAATAGTTAAATTAAAAGAGAAGATATCGCCACATATTTTGGATTTAATAAAACAACAAAGATTGGCATTCTTGGTGGAGGGTAAGTAAGAAGTTTTTGTTTCGCGAATGTTTAGACGAAGCAAAGTTTAATTCTCACATATAAGAAAACTAACTTCAACATCATTTTTTCATTATTTCCTCCCTCTCTCTAGGTACTCGCTTTTCCAAATATTCACGTGGTACCCGATCAAAAGATAAATTCTGGTATGCCCGCCTTTCACCAAATCACAAAGTAATACATTACGGTGATTGTGATGAGAAGACTATACCGACCCTTGAAGAACTACCCAATAAAGTGTCGGTAATTGATATCAAACAGCTGCTCGAAGGCAAAGAGTGTCCACACATGAAAGAGATGCGTACACGTAAATCAGCCGTAAATCTAGCATTTTCTATAACATTCGAAAATATGGATCATTCAACGATTGATTTTGTGGCACCCGATGAAACGGTCTTCAATTATTGGACTGATGGTATTAATGCTCTCTTGGGTCAAGAAATGGTTAGCAAACAGAAGAAAGATGATTTCGATACGCTGCTGTCAATGGAAATAAAATTACGTCTGTTGGATACGGAAGGTGTTGATATTAGTAAAGATCCTCCGCCAGTACCCGAAGATCCGGAAAATTATGATTTTTGTTTTGAAAATTAGTAGAACAGAAATATCTTTAGAATTATTCCACAGCAACAAAGTATTTATCTGATATCATTTTATATCGATCAAAAATATCGCGTTTTTTATCTTTATCTATCATTAATTAATCTATTCATCTCAAAAGAAAGGAAAGAAAACATATAAAATGCCAAAGTTATCATATAAAAACAAGAAGAAAAAATTAAAAATAATATTTTAAAACGAACGCACATTACCGCCAGGTCAATGTATTTTCTATGCAAAATACGCAAATAATTTTTTTAGGTTATTATTTCCTACCAAATTGAATTAAGAAAACAAATTAAAACTAATAAAGCGTGCAATTTTATTAAAAAAAAAACTATTATTTATCTTGTAATTTTAATATTTGCGGAAACATTGTACAGAGAAAAACTTATAAGTGTTTTTTATTTATTTATTATAGTATTAACATTGTAGTAAATACAATGCTAATAATAAAAGTATCTAGCATTGGCTACAATGGCCATCAGCTAAATCGGTTGACAATTCTTAATAATTTTATTAAATAGTAATTTTAAGATGACGTATGTAGTTAAATATCTTATTAATATTGACAGTAGTAGGTGATATTAAAATATTCGTTCCATCGTTGTTGAGGTAGTTGAGGCGGGCTCTGTCGAAAGCGTTGCATGTTTCTAAAATATGTTGTGCTGTGTAGACATTTCCACATTTGGGACACTTGTTGTCAAAACTTGTGTTAATGAGATGTTGGTGTGTGGCAATAGTATGACCCATTCGAAGTCTCGAAAATATGCGCACTTGCTTTTTAGGTACATTGGTAGGATAGACGGGCACTATGCAGTTAGGATTTATTTTGTTATAGTGCACATGTTCAAATAACATGTGTTGTTGTTTAGCATTTTGTTTAAGTTTGTGTTTTATAAATGTTTTTAAATCTATTTTTTCGATTATTCCATCTAACAACACTGGAGCGGTGCAGGCGTACTTTGCTGCTTTATCGGCGTTTTCGTTTCCTTCAATTCCAACGTGACCAGGTACCCAGAAAAGTTTTATGTAGTTGTTCTCGGTTAGCAAATCCCGAATTTTGTTAATTGAAGCCCAACAGTTGTTTGATGTACATAACACCGATTTTAGAACCGATAAACTGTCGGAAATAATTATTGTTTCTTGTTGTGAATGCAATAAAGCGTGCAATTTTATTAAAAAAAAAAAACTATTATTTATCTTGTAATTTTAATATTTGCGGAAACATTGTACAGAGAAAAACTTATAAGTGTTTTTTAATTTGAAATATCTCGTTGAGTTGTGTCATATTGTTTTTGTTTAGTAATGTTTCATGATTTTCATAATAACATGCCCATTAGGCTACATCAGGCTTAATGGGTATGTAAGGTCCAAATGTCTTAAAAAAATGTCGGTAACAACAGAACCTTTAATAATGATCGAAATCTTGGCGTCATTTAATTTCAACGTGACCTGTAGAAGAAACCCCCATTCTCGGTTTCAAAAAATCTATTTTTTATTATTATTGAATATGAACTTAAAACTTAACAAAATTATAGCATATTTATTGTGTAAGCGTCAAAAAACGCATCAGTTCCAAATTTTAACACTTTATTCTGGACCTACATAGCTATCGTATGAACTAGGATAAATCCAATCTGTGAAGATCTTCCCTATTTTCCAGTTTGGTTTTTGGTCGAAAATAGGAGGTTTAAAAAAATCCTAGTTCCGTCACTTTGCTAATTTTCGAGTAAAGATAATAATACTAGTTCATACCAGAGCTGGGTATGTACTCTTTCTGATTGCGTTGGAATTTTGAGATTCGAATTTCCCAGTGATCGGAAATCATGTCAGCCACCAAAAAAGACTTTTCTTTAAGTGCAAAAAAATAACAAGAAAACAACAACAATATTTTGTCAATTTATTTTCTTCTTCTTTATTTGGTGGAGCCACATCCCAATAATAAACGAATAATTCTGTAATCAACTACCTTTAAAATCGAACGTAAAACATTGAAGACAATATTATAACATCTTCTCTATTCCAGAAACCATTATCCAAATAGGTTTTCGATTTTCCCTTTAAAATTTTCACCAGTCGCTTTTTTAAATTTATTTAATTTTTTTCACTTTTTTCCTAATTTTTTCAACCCGAACTATATACCTAATATATGTGTGTGCGCGCCATCTACATATCAAGATTTATTGCTTAATAAACTTATTCTATTATTGTAGCATACTTTTGGGCGCACTGTAGTTTATGCGCAGAGAGAGTTTTTGTATTGTAAACAAACCGTTATTTACCGTGTGAAATACAATTATACTCTCTCTATCGTCATGAACACCACTCCTTCCAGAAGGATATCGATTTTTGTACTCGAAAGCTGACATAATTTTTTCACTGACCTCCTTTAAGTTCGAGAGGAAATAAAAAAGAAATTGCAACGAATAAAAATTGTTTTGAAAAAAAAAACGAAAAAACGAAGATTTAGTTTGAATTATATTTGCCACTGTTGGGGAGTTTGGAAACGCACTTGTAAAAGTGTCTATTGGGCTATTTCGAGAGGTCAGGCGTGTAATAAAAATCCAACAAAATTTCACACTTACTTGAAAATCCGTTGCTGCTACTCCACAGCAATCAAGTGGCATCTGGAGGAGCAATATCACCGGCAGCGGTCTCAACATCATCAACAACGTTATTAACGGCGTCCAACGTCGTTGGGGAGCGTAACGATTTCTTTAACGTGGCTTCAACGGACGGCATCAGGACGCAAAACAGCAAAGTACACCCAAGTCCGGGGGCAGGTATATAGTATATTTTCAATTTCCCGATAGAATGACAATTATAATATTTTTTTTTTTTGGTTTTAAGGAACAGCCCGTAGTGTGTGGGCCCTGCCCCTGACATATGATAGTTGCAACATGGTTGCAGAGGAGGATGGTGCACACACTGACCATGAGGTGGATCCACGACGACCCCACACGCCACATGTAGTGGAAGTTGGCAGTGGGGTAGATGGTGCTGTGGGCGGACCAAATGGTACGGTTGGCGGCGGTGGTGCTAATGCTGGCCGCGATGATGGTGCAGTGGATGAAAATCTGCTAATTTTTGAAGGTGTTGATGGTTCGGTGGCCCATTTGGATGATATTTTCGATATTATTAAGAATGGAGAAGTTAGTGATGTTGAGAAGTTAACGGAAAAATTTGGCATTGAATGTTTGTCGGCACGTGACCGTCATGGCTACACTCCGGCCCATTGGGTAGCCCTAAATGGCAATGTAGAAATGATGCGTTATTTGATTGAGAGATTGGCCCCGATCGATTTACCTTGTCTGGGTACACAGGGACCGCGACCGATTCACTGGGCCTGTCGCAAAGGCCATGCAGCTGTGGTACAAGTTATGCTTCAAGCGGGAGTTAATGTAAATGCGGCCGATTTCAAGGGCTTGACACCATTACACGTGGCCTGTATGTATGGACGTACAGCTACGGCTGCATATCTCTTGGGCATGGGTGCCCTCAATCATTTGACAGACATTAATGGCGATACTGCCTTGCATTGGGCTGCCTATAAGGGTCATGCGGATCTTATGCGCTTGCTAATGTATTCTGGTGTCGAATTGCAAAAAACTGATAATTTCGGTTCGACGCCACTGCATTTGGCCTGTTTGTCGGGTAACATGTCTTGTGTACGTTTGCTGTGCGAAAAATCCAATATGGATTTAGAGCCCAGAGATAAAAATGGCAAAACTCCCATGATGTTGGCCCAGGCTCACCAGCATCAGGATATTGTTCGTTTGCTATACACTGAGGTGAAGAAAAAGTCGCGCTGGATACCATCAATATCGGAAATTTGGGGTTGGCTATTTGGCGGTGCTGGCGATTCCAAGGGACCGTTGTTATTGTTTTTATTCTCGGTGTTGCTATGGGGTTATCCAATGTATATGATAAGGGTAAGTGAAAGATATACTTCTCTAAAAGAGGAGTTAATAATCGGTTTCTTGCTTTGTAGGCCATACCAATTACTTGGAACATTTTGCGACGTTCCCATTATTGTTTTATCTATTGGAATGCCGTTATGTGGATTAGTTGGATAATTGCCAACCGTCGTGATCCCGGTTATATACCACTGAGCTCCGATGCCTATTATAGGGCCATTAAACAAATACCCTATTTTGATAAACTAAAGAAACGTAATGTCATTTTAACTAGACTCTGTCACAGCTGCCGTTGTCTACGCCCACTGAGGGCTAAACATTGTCGTGTTTGTAATCGTTGCGTCTCCTACTTCGATCATCATTGTCCATTCATATATAATTGTGTGGGACTGCGTAATAGGATGTGGTTTTTCCTATTTGTTCTGTCGGTGGCTGTGAACTGCTCCTTTACCATTTACTTTGCCTGTTATTGTGTCATGATTGAAGGATTTACGTTGTTGTATGTATTGGGCCTAATAGAGGCTGTGGTTTTTTGTGGTTTGGGATGGATTTTGACATGCACTTCGGTAAGTTGGCAATACTTGTTGTATGAGTGTGATATTGTTGTTGTTATTGTTTGGGTGTTTTCTGTTATTTCAGATCCTTCACGCCTGCATGAATCTCACAACCAATGAAATGTTCAATTATAAACGCTATCCCTATTTGCGTGACAAACGTGGTCGTTATCAGAATCCCTTCTCACGTGGACCCATTTTGAATCTATTGGAATTCTTTGTATGTCTGCCAGATCGTAACGATGACAATGATTTGCTTTTGGAGGATAACATTTGATTAAGAAGCTAGGAACGCCAGTTGGCGCGCCGCCGTCGTTTACAACCGCCACCCGCACGAGGATAATATTGGGTTACAAGAACCTACCAAACGTTAGCCGAATCGAAACGGAGAGGGTAATTAAGTGTGGATTGAAAATGTGGAAAAATATTTTAAAATTACTTATTGAAATCGATTTTTTTAAATAATGTATGCTTTCAATATTACAATAATTAAAAGAAGCTTCAAACAAAGACTAACAACAACACTACAGAGCAAATATCTGTAAGCAAATGCACAACTTATTATTAAATAAATTTAAGAAAACTAAAAAAATAATAAATAATAAATAAACGTCACTAATATGCATTCTTAAAATTTTGAAATTAAATAAAATTATAAAATTGATACTCATGGTTTGATTTGAAAAAATGAAACTAGATAATTTTTAAAACTTCCACCTAAATATTGAGTGTGTATTAAATTTGTCTTCACGTTTGTATTCTTTGGAGACCTTACTTTTTATATGCCTGTTTACTTAGACCATAGTAGCATCTGTTCGCCATCACTATCCTTCTCCGAATTTCAAAACTGATGTCACTACCTCGAAGCTGTAGTTCTCAAGTTCCACATTTGACGCAGAGTGAAAATGGTGGATTTGCCAGGTATGAAGCCGCATTGGTATGGTCCAATAATGTCATTAACCATTGGCTTCAGTCTTTCACACAGCACGCTGGATAGCACTTTATATGCGATGGGAAGAAGCCTAATTCCTCTATAAATGTCACATATCGTCTTGTCTCCTTTTTGGTGCACGGGACACCGGATGCTGAGGTTCCAATCATTGGGCATGCATTATTCTTTCCAAATTGTACTAATCAGCTTGTGCATGCTCCTGACCAGCATATGACCACCAGTCTTGAATAGTTCGGCTGGTAACCCATCGGCACCTGCTGCTTTATTATTCTTCAGCCGATTGATTGCTATTCTGACCTCATCTTGGCTAGGTGGTATACACTCTATATCTTCGTTACCGCCACTATTTGATACCAGAAGCTTTTCAAAATGCTCCTTTCAGATCCTCAACTCGCTGTCTGTATCTGTAACCAGGTTTCCATCTTCATCTCTACAGGAGGTTCCTGCGCCAAAGCCTTCGGTTTGGGGTTTTACTCCTTGGTAAAATATCCGGACTTCATTTTGACTCCTGTACATTTCGATTTGCTCACGCTCATGATTTTCTTGTTCTTTCTTCTTTTTTCTGAAAATACGTTTGTCCTCTCTCCTTTTCTCCCGATAATTTTCCACCACATTACGTGTTGCTACTGTCTGCAGGGTTGCCCTATACGTTGCGTTTTTCACATCACATCCTGATCGTACCATGAATTTCTTGGTGGTGGTTTTCGGTATCCAAGTGTTGCTTTTGATGCAGTTTGTAGAGAGTGGGCAACTCTTTGCTATTGTGCTTCTATACTATTATCGGGACAAGAAGTGCTTTCGTCAAGCAGGTGGGTAAGCTGAGCGGAGTAGTTATTCGACCTTTGCTGCTACATTGAGATGGGTGCGAACCTTGGCTGCCAAAAGGTAATGGTCCGAATCGATATTCGCTCCTCGTATCGAACGTCTAAAACACTGGACGAATGCCTTCGGTCTATCACAACATGATCAATTTGATTTCTCGTAGCTTGATCAGGAGAAATCCAGGTGGCCTTGTATATTTCGAGATGCTGGTGCTGCTAACTGCCATGTTTTTTGTTGTCGCGGTTGTTGGTTTTATTTTTCGTTGCTTTTTCATGGTATGAGTGGTTTTCCGAGTGTGGGCAACTAACCCGACGCCTCAATCCATTTTCTATAGTTCATATGGGTAAACTCGCGCCACATATCAGCTCACTATTTCAATGGATGATTTAAAAAATAGTTACTCCAGGTGACACCGCGGGGAGGTCAGTGTTCACAATTGAGATGAAAGAGTGATCAAGATAAGTCTGGGCTTCGCCATGTTAAAGCCAATCAGAGCCGTTGATTGGTATCTATCATCCCCTACGTCGCCCATTAGTGAAGTTAGTTAGTTAAAAACACTTGTACAAAATGGCATCCACCTACAGTAACTCCTTCTATTTTTGGTCACTGTTTATATGAACTCGCGTCATAGTTCGATATTTTCTGGTTCAGTCCCTCAAAAATATTTTTGGATATGGCGCTCGTAGCACATACCATTTATCCCTGTCACTATCAATATTCTCAATAAACTGCCGGTTAAAATAACTCGCCATACTCTTAATTTTTAATAATGATAAAAAAGTAACCCAATTTGTTGGTATTTTGAGAATTTTGGGAACGATTTTTTTAAACTGAATTTGATATTTTAGGGAAAATCCTTAGAGAACATATATATATATAGGCCAATTTTTTGTTATATTCATTATATGAAGATATAAAAATAATTCACTATGATGGAGGGTATTAAAAAGTTCGGCCCAGCCGAACTTAATCAGTTTTCCACTTGTTAAACAAATCATTTAAAATCGTTTGCAAAATATTTGGAATATTCCTCTCAGAGATTTATTTGTAAATATTTGTACGAGATTGTTTACGATGACTTTGCATTTTTTTTCAGACCAATATGTACATATGTGTGTATATAGACGGACAGATTTCACGTAGCTCATTAAAATTGTTAATTTGTTTGTTTTGGTTTTTAGGGGATTGTCTTACTCTTTCAAATTTGGTATATATGTGCCGGTATTGTTTTTTTTTTTATTAGGTAAACCTGTTTGCTGTACAGATCACATATTATATTGTTTGTTTTGCTTTAATAATTTATGTATGTTAAACGTGCCTTGGTTTTCTAAGCGCCATAGGTACTGCAGTGCGCGTGCGCAGTTGGAAATTATAAATTTATTAATTTGGATATTGGCACACTGAAATCTTTGTTTACATTAAATTATCTGGTGTACCGTGAATCAGGGTAATACATATATCGATTTATTTGTATGGGACAGAGGACATTAGCGCGTAAGTGGTACTAAATACCGAAGTCTTTGTGTTACTGCAATCGGAAATATCAGGAGGTGGGCGAAAACTCTGCGCGAGAACGCTAACCAAACTCCCTTTTTTACGTATTTATTTGGGAGCCACAAAATATTTACTCAACGTATATTCGAAGAAGGCGAATATACGCTGTGTAATTTTTATTCATATGATTTTGGCGCTGCATGTCACGTAAAAATAACTAATCTCACAAACGATAACTTACAATAAAGATTGTGAGCGCAAAGTAATAATAAATATCTTTTACAGCTTATATATGTACAATATTGCCAATTTTTTAGAATAGTTGAAGCCGATGTTCACCCCTTTATAACTCCGAAATTACTAAAGTACATAAGAAAAATTGAATAGATTTGGATTTATTGATTTGTCGTTGCAAATTTGACATTCAAAGTTTATTTACGTGGATGCTGTGTCTTCTTTAATGTACAAAAATAGGTAAGAACAGGGTGACGAAACCCAGTTTTTTATGCAAATTTTGTGCGATCAAGTTTTCAAAAAACATAATTTTTATATCTGTAATTTTTATATCAGTAAGCTTTTTTTACGTTCCGGATAAAATAAAATTTTCTTTGTGAAAATCGAAATTTGGCAAAAAAAAATGAGTTATTCAGAAGCAAGGAATGTTTTAGATTATCTAAACAAATTAGTTTTTATTCTCACATTTTGTTCAAACATTCTATTAATTTTGACAGCGTATTACTTTTTTTATAATTAATGTTTAGTTTTGTTATCTATATAATAATACGAAAAACAACAATTTTACGACAAATTTGTGGTTTCATTGTGTTTAATATATATGCTGCCGGATTTTTACTACGTAATAGCTGATTCAATGGCATTGTTAAAAATAATAAAAAAAAAACTGATTGTTTATAGTTTGGATTTTGTGATTTTTTGCCATGTCACTCTAGCAACAAAACAGATGCTGCTCGTGTTTTCAAAACCCAGATGATGCATGAGATATTAAAAGCCACAGTACCAATATTGACGGAAACTATCAGTGCCATAGGAAACACGAGCTTCGTGTGCAAAAATCACTTTAATTTTGGTGTTGAGATTTCTAATTAAACATTGTTTAAAAAAGGGAGGTAGCTTTTAATAATGAAATACATTTTTATTAGGAACCAGGAATTTAATAAGAACAATAATAATACAAGGTATGGCAACTTGAGGTGAATAACAAAAAATCAACTATGTTGGTTTTTATTTGACATTTTTTAACACGGGAAAAATTGAAGGATGGTTATGAATTCTTTCCACAATCCAGTAGGGAATACCATAAAACTATTGTTTCATCCCTAACAATGTAATTACTTTCAGACGAAAGTGGTAATTAAAATTAAATTTATGTATTTTGATTTGATAGAGCAAGCTACCTTGAAAGAAATGATAATAAGATGGTAGCTATACTCTACAATGTAATAATTATACCATGGAACCAACTTCGATGCGTTAGGACTCATATGGGAAATTACAAAATTCTTTTAAAATTCCATAAAAAAAATTGATAATTTTTTTTTTTTGCGAGCACATTTATGATTTTTGGTACAAAGGTTAAGAAAAAAATGCTGATTCGAAATCTGTTCGCGTTCACAAATTCGGATGCTACGCACAAAAGTTATAGCGGTTTTAAATCTTGTATTTCAAATATAAATTAAATGAATTTCTATTCATTGTTATTCGCGAATTTCTTCACAAATGGATAGACACATTTGTTTTCTTTGTCAAATCACATTGAAATACGGTTTAATAGTCGCGAAAAACAAATAGAAGCATGAAGACATCTGAAAATAAAATAAATACATTTTTTAATTAAGGCAAAACGTTTATTAATAAAATAGGTATATTATTCGCGTATCGATGTATTTTTGACCTATTTTCACACAGATTCGCGAATATGATAATACAAGCATGAATGTAGGTAAAATCAATTCGAAGAAAAACGCGAATTAGTCGAAATAAGTTTTTGCAATTTTTCCCACATTTAAGGTACCTATATCCGCCGTTTTATTAGGCGGAATTGAACATGGCTGGGTTCATTAGATTCGGCACATAAAAACAGAAATAACGTGGGGTATAAGTATACCTTCTTAAATTTAGACTCAAAATTGTTTTTTTTTTTTTATAAAAATTTACGCTCCAAATTTTCGTCTTTGGAATCCAATTGGCAAGAAGCTACGGTAAGCACATTCATGATATATACACCAAACGAAGCAAAATCACGAGTTCTACAATCCTATAATCAGTTTAGCCCACTATCTGGTTGCGCGTCCGGATTATAAGAACAATTCAAAAAACACCGAAAATCCGGCTTCAAAATGTCAGCATCCTTGTTGGGTGGATACAGTGATTATATCGAAAAATCATACATTAGAACCATATTGTCCATGGGAAATTCTGCAACTTGTTCACTGATCACATGTGCACGCGTTGTGTAGTTTAGCCACAAATCAGGAAGGAACACAAAGAATTTAAATTATAATAAACAATATGTCCATATTTCGCGAGTTATAAGCTTGCAATCCTCAGTTTCAAGGAATTTAAAAGATTTTTGTAATTTCCCATATGCATTTGTCACAATATTTATACCCTTCACCACACCGTGGTCTTTTTGTAACAGGTGAAAGGGAACGAGATATACCCACGGTTCCTTTTGAAAATATGCATAGATGTTAAATTGTAAACAAGTCGCAGTACAGGTCGCATTTGTCATCCGATTTGGATGAAATTTGGCACAGCTCATTTATTTGGCCAAACGACGAACCCTATTGAAATTGGGAAAATCGGTTCAGATTTAGATATAGCTCCCATATATATTTTCATCCGATTTCAGGTAAATGGTGCACCAATGTCCCTATATATCTTTCGATTTGCACGAAATTTGGCATAGCGTCTATAGTGTGCTAAGTTTCGTGCTAAGGCTGTATAAAAATGTGTGCTAAGTTTCCTAAAATAGGTTCAGATTTAGATATAGCTCCCGATTTAAGGTAAATGGTGCACCAAAGTTCTTATATATATTTCGTTCAATTTCATGACAGTGTTCTTTCGAAAAGGCGACGTCTGTTAGGAGACTATGTAAAATATAGCCAAAGTGGTGATGGGTATCATATAGTCGGCCCAGTCCGACTTTACTACATTCCATACTGGTTTTTATATGATATAGATATTATTTCTTCCCGAAACTCGAAAGTCCGAATCACCATGTGTCCAATATTTAGTTTTAAAACATTTTCCGACAAATATCCACCATACTGGAATAAAACCTAAAACTTATTGGACACAACGGGGCACAATATACCTTATTCCTTTTTTCAATATGGTTTTGAGTTCGCATGAGAACAATTGCTATACGATTTAGATTCACGGTTTCCAAAAAATTTATTTTCTGTCTCAGACGGAAATCATGACCGACGTTGAAAAGTATGATTTTTTCCATTAAAAAAATCAGTCAATTGATTTTCTTATCCTTTAAGTCTTCAAATACGTATATGTAAAGTTACCAGTCTTCAATATAATGAACGGCCATTTGCCAGCCGTTTGAAAATGGTCGAAATTTCAAATCGAAAAAAGAGGGGGAACTCCCAATTAACGACACTTTTGTCGGTTAAATTTACTTAGTCATTATGCAAAACACTTTCTTCATTGTCATCACTTGAAAATAAAACATCATCATTAATTATTATTTTTATTGATAATTTCATCACAACATGCAACGATTTAGCAAATGTATTCATGTTCCTCTAATATTTTTTGGGTAGTAATTGGCGGTAATAAAAATTATTTATTTATTTATTTTATTTCCATTAAATAATACCAAAGCCTTCAAGGCCAATAAATAGTATTAACAATATAAAAATATAAAAACATGTCTAAGCAGACTCTTACATCAAAAAAACTTATATAATTGGCTCCCCAGCCATAACTACAAAATGCAAAAGTTGCAAATTAATGCCAAGATAAACAACAAAGTTTTAAAAAAAATAAAATCATTAAAAAGAAGTTTTAAAAATAAAACATAAATCAGACCATAAGTAAATGTCAATATGTATTTAAAGGCATCAAGAATATATCAAATCAAAAAACATTAGATAATATTTGGATCAGCGCTTCAAATATAGTCCAAAAGTTTCAAACGAAATGCATTGTTTGAATGAGAAAATACTCTTAGTTCAACTGGCAAGTAGTTCCATATTCGAGCAACTCGTATTAAAAACGATTTCTCAAAAACAGAATTATATATTCTTGGTATAAATAACTGAGTAGTTCTTGAAGACATATTAAATCTAAACAAATTCGATAGTAGATGAGGTACTCCACATTTAACGACTTTATAAAATGAGCATAACAATTTGATTGTAACATACTTATCAAAATCAACTCCTAAAAAACTCTCAACATAGCCAGAAATATGCTCATATCTCTTTACTCCATACACGAAACGAGAAATACAATTAACAATGCGCTTTAATTTGAAAAGGGTACGATCTATGGTTCCAGATACTACTTCCAAGCAGTAATTAATATGGGGCATAAGAAGAGCAAATGCCAACCTCTTTTTTACCCAAGATGGAAGAAATAAATTCGTAGAGTACAACTTGCGAATTATTCCACACACTTTCCGATGTATAAAATCTATGTGAGTGTCAAATGATAACTTATCATCTATAAACACTCCTAAAATTTTGTGACAGCTTACAAAGCCGATCCTATTCTGGTCAATAAATAAATTGTAATCATATGACTGACTCCCAAATAGCATAGCTTTAGTCTTAGAGTAATTTATCATCAATGAGTTACTTGATGGCCATTGCTTGAACCGAGACAAAGAAAGATTTACATAACGCTCAAAATCATAAGGAGAAAGCTGATTATCATTGAAGATGAGGTAAAAGTCATCTGCAAATAAAAGGGGGACGCAGTCATCGTATCGAAAATAATCCCCTAAGTTATTGACATATAAAATAAAAAACAACGGTCCTAACACGGAACCCTGTGGTACACCACATGTAACAGGAATAGTCATAGAAGATTCACCATTAAGACATACAAATTGTGATCTACCAAACAAGTTAGATGCAACAAGCTTACAAGCAGTTAAGGAAAAATTAAACTCATTTTTAAGCTTTAATATTAATTGTTGATGTACAATAGTATTAAACGCTTTAGTTAAATCTAAGGAAACGACAATAGTATTATTATTTTGATTGGTATTGTTTCTAATCATATCTGTCAAATAAAGTAGTAAACTTGCAGTACTATGATTTTTACGAAAAGCAAACTGGTATTTAGAAATTTGGACGCTCACACGTCCCAAAATTTGGCTCTTCATAATTTGCTTACAAACTTTCGACAATACCGGCAAAATAGAAATAGGTCTGAGATCTTCAGGACCATTAACAATATGGGCTTTGGGAATTGGAACACCACGAGCTTTCTTCCAAAGGGTCGGATACAGCGACGATGTTAAAATTGTGTTTATCAGATCAAGAATCATATTAGAAATATATGGGAAAATATGTTTAATGAAATCAACAGGTATTCCATCAATGCCAATGGATTTAGATTTAATATTATTTAGAGCAATAGCCACATCATCAATACCAACACAACTGAAGGAAAATGCGTTATCTGATTCACCGAAATAACGAAAGTCTAAATCACGAGTAGCCAAATTATTTGAAACAAATGAACTGTTTAAACTATTGACATCAAAATTGGAAACTATGCCATCACAACCCGTACATCCTGTACCCCTAAGAAAACGCAAGAAAGCAGTAGAACCCATGTAATTACATTTTTTCGAAAAATATATTCTACGCTCACGTCTAATGATTGATTTGGCTTTATTTCTAAACTTACAGTACACTTTCCAATTGCCGCTATTCTTATTTTGTTGGTATGCTGCGAATGCCAAATCGCGAAGCGATCTGGCTAAAGTAATCCGATTTGCATTTATCCAATTGTCATCAGATCTAATTTTTCTGCGTACAGTAGGAACTAAGTTAAATAAATCAGAAATAATTGAAGATATCAAAGAACACTTAACATCACTATCAGCCACATAAAGCATTTCACAGTCAAATTCAGCTAGATAAAAACAAAAATCTGTCCTGTCCATATTTCTATAATCATGGTATTCAACAAAATCACAGCTTATATTAACGCTAATGCTAAGCGAGGCAAAAATAAGTGCATGATCAGATATGGATGGACAAATTACCTGATCACATAGCTGAACCATACATAAATCACTAACCAAAATAAAATCGATCAATGAAGACGAGTTATAATTTACATTATAATGCGTAGGTTTTGTATTATGCAAAATAGACATATTCATTCTAAAGCATGAGGAACGGGTAGACATAGCTTTTTGTGGGTCGAACAAATTAGAGTTAAAATCACATACCACTACCAAATGTGTATATGCCAAAAATAGATTATTATGAAAATGTTCAAAAAAGGAAATTCGCCAGGTGGAGGTAAATATACCACTCTAACTAAAATCTTTGCATCACATGATGCCAATTCAATGAAAAGGGATTCGCATTTTCCAAGCACCGAAGATTTGAATACTATTTCATAACTAATTCCTTTCATAATATACATGCCAACACCACCACCTCTTGAGTCTATACGATCATTCCTGATAAATGTATACCCAGTTATATCAACTGCACGGCTTGAAACTTCTGGCTTAAGCCACGTCTCCGAAACAGCGACAATATTGAATTTGGATTCATATATTATTGATTTGAGTTCTTGAAATTTAGTGGTATTTGCTAATGGCCTAATACTACGACAATTTAAATGTGCAATTTCGTTTGGCAACCCTGTCGTGAATGTTCACTAATTTTGTGGTGCTCTGTGCTCGTTTAAAAAATATTTAATTTCTAACAATATAATCTGTGTTTTTGTGGTAACGGTGTTTAAAAGTGTTGTGAAATAATTTTTGTGCATTTTGATATAATTGGAAGTGTTAAATATAACATATTTTTCCTAATATTAATTAATCTTTTTAATTCTTATTGGCATTTTGATTCCATTCCCAATTTGTTCCTTTGTTGCATTAGCTTATATTGTTGTTGTAACATTTCTTTTAATTTTATTTTGTTTTGTTATTTTGACATCTCAAAACAGAGTTGCCAAATTGTGTGTTTCATAAGAAATTAAAGGGATAGAAATTCCAGTAAATTCATAAATTATTTAAAAAAAAATAATAATAATAATTTTTAAAAATGGTTTGTCCTTACGAGTTATGTAATATTTCCGTAGATGATGAGTTGTGTGTCACATGCTGGTTTTGCCTTAATCAATGGCACGTTAAATGTGCTCGAATTAATGCAAAAGTAGTGGACACAATTAGGGATAATGTTGGTGTCCGTTGGTGCTGTGTCCATTGTCGAAAACTTTCAGCTGACTTTTATAACTTTGTAAAAGATTTGCAGTCGGAGCTTGGTTCGATGAAAAAGGAATTTACATCGTTATCAAAACGATTTGAGAATTTTTCGAATTTGTTCGACAAGTACCAAGAGCTTGATGAATTTGTATCATCACCGTCTGTGTCTGGGCAGAAACGTAAAAGGTCTGCGAAAAAGGCTCCCAATAAAGTCGTGCCTAGTCGCAAACCCACAGTTTCTGTTGGGAATACAGTGCCACAATCACCTTCCGTCAATATCACAGATACAATGGAAACTGATTGTGTCCAGACATATGCTAGTGTTGCGTCACATTCGGCCTCGGAAATCGTTAAGGATGTAAATGAAGTGATAAATCCAAAATCTGTGAGTATAAGTAGTGCTAGTCTGGAAAAGACTTCAAAACCTACTCACGGAAATCGGGAATCATCAGTTCAATCATCTAATGCGTCTTCCGTAGCTGGCACTAGAAATTCCCTCCAACCTGGTCAAAGACCATTATCTATGGCTCCCACCAGGAAAATGGTATTTGTATCTAGGTTTGCACCAGATACCTCGGCTGAGGATATAAATTATTATATAAAATCAAAAATCGATGGAAATTTCTTTCTACGTTGTTATAAGCTCCGGTCTGCTTTCTCAGAAAGTAGATCATCTTTTAAAATCGTAGTAGAAGAAAGTATGTTTCATCGACTAATTTCGAGAGAATTTTGGCCTGCTAATGCATTTGTAAAAGAATTTCTGGAAAGATCTGAAAATTTAGCTCATTTGCCTCAGAGGGCTGAAATATTGCCAAAAAACTAAATATGTTTCTCAATGTTTGCTATCAGAATGTAAGAGGGTTAAACACAAAATTAACTCGATTATTCTCTGATAGCCTTGGGTTTAATTATGATGTTATAGTATTTTCTGAAACTTGGTTAAAACCATCCGTGTTAAATAGTGAAATTTTGTGTTCTAGATATCAAATATTTAGAAAAGATAGAGTTCTTAAAAAAGGTGGTGGCGTCCTTATTGCAGTTGATGCCAAATATTCCACTAATTTAATTGAATTAAACTGTTTTGATATCGAATTTATTTGCATATCCATTGAATTAGAAAATTTTAAATTATTTGTGACTTGCTCATACATTCCTCCCTCATCGCAACTTGATATTTATAATCAGCATTTGTTAGCAATAAATTCAATCACTAACAAAATGAATGACTCTGACAAAATATTAGTTCTCGGCGATTTTAATCTGCCGTCCGTAAAGTGGCTTTCATTGCCAGATTCTGAGGCTCTAACACCTTTGACATCTGATGCAAATGTAAACTTATATACCTTTGAAATTGTAAATCGTTTTAGCGACATAAATCTTTATCAAATAAATAGCGTATCAAATTGTTATGATCGAATTCTAGATCTAGCATTTGTGAATTATACACAATATTTTGAAATTATTAGAATACCTCCAGTATGTACTCCCGAAGATAACTACCATCCTACATTATGCATATCCATGATGCATAATAATTTAGCTACCAACAATTCTTTAATATCATTTAAATCTGTTCCTAATTATAATAAAACTGACTTCCGAAAGCTAAACGCACTTATCTCAAACGTAAATTGGTGCACATTATTTATTTGTAAGGGTCATATTGATCTAGAATTATTAGTATATAAATTTTATGATATCCTAAATAAATTTATTCTAGAATGTGTTCCCATTGTTAGAGTTAGAAACTCGGAACGATATCCATGGGTCACATCTGGGCTTTCAAGTATTAAAAATTATAAAAATAAACTTTTTAAAAAATATAAAAAATCAGGCTCCTCTATAGATTATGCTAAATATGCTGTCGCAAGGTCTAAATATACGTCAGAGTCCCGAAAACTTTACAATCTTTATTTAAACAAGATTAAACTTAATTTCAAATCCAATCCTAAATCTTTTTATGACTTTGTTAATATAAAAAGAAAAGCTACGTCAAAGCCCACCATCTTGAAATTCAATAATCAGACATTTGAGAAAAACTCTGAAATTTCAGAGTGCTTTGCAAATTTTTTCGCTACAACATATTCATATTCACCCTGTCCAAATAAAGATACATATAGTTATAAATTATCGACGATAGATCAAATATCTATGCCTTTTTTACAAAGTCAATATGTTTCTAAAAATCTACGTAATTTAAGATCAATTAAAAGTCCAGGTCCGGATGGCATTCCTAGCATAATTCTAAAGTACTGTTCAGATACATTAGCTATCCCTTTAACGCTATTGTTTAATTATTCCCTGAAATATAGTCATTTTCCGACCTTCTGGAAGAAATCCTATATAGTTCCTTTACACAAATCTGGTAGCTTAACTAATGTCTCGAATTATAGAGGAATTGCTAAATTAAGTGCAATTCCAAAATTATTCGAAAAACTGATTACTGATGTAATTTCTCATAAAGTTCAGCCAATCTTAAGCCCATATCAACATGGTTTTCGTAGTGGCCTCTCAACCATTACCAATCTTATTCAATTTTCCTCAACCGTCATAAAAGGTTTTATTCAGCGTAATCAAACCGACACGATTTACACTGACTTCAGTAAAGCTTTTGACAGGGTTAACCATGAACTTTTAATATATAAATTAAATCAAATTGGTTTCAGTATAAATTTAGTTAAATGGATATCATCTTATTTGAGAAATAGATCACAGGTAGTTTTGTTTGATGATTGTCTCTCCAAATCCATTAATGTTCCTTCCGGCGTTCCCCAAGGAAGTCATTTAGGTCCACTCCTCTTTCTTCTATTTATAAATGATTTACCAAATGCAATAATCCACTCCAAATTGCTAATGTATGCTGACGATGTCAAGTTGTGATTTACTGATTTACTTCAAAATGATTTAAATAACCTTTTTCAATGGTGCGAATTAAACTGTATGGATTTAAACCTAAACAAATGTAAGCATATGTGTTTTTCCAGATCTTCTACTTTAACAAGGCAATACAATATTAATGGTACTGTTTTATCAACTGTTGATTCATTTGTTGATCTTGGTATTTTAATGGATCCAAAATTAAATTTTAATAATCATGTTATTTCTATGGTAAACAAAGCCCACGGTGTCTTAGGATTTATAAAACGATGGGCTAAAGAATTCTCTGATCCCTACATTACAAAACAACTTTTCACATCTCTTGTGCGACCCATATTAGAATATGGTTCTGTTGTATGGGATCCCCAATATACAATTTATTCCGATAAAATTGAATCAGTGCAGAAACAATTTCTAATTTTTGCGCTGAGAGGTTTACATTGGAATAGTGACTTTGTGTTGCCTTCTTACACTAGCAGGTTAAAATTAATTCGATTGTCAACATTAAA